CCAGGTCTGAATTGGGCAAGAGAAGAGAAATGGGTTCCTCTAGACCAGAGTCCATGATATCTGGAGACATCAGCAGTTCTGGGGAATTTAGAGGCAGGAAGTGAAATAAGATGAGGCAGAGGAGAAACAATAAACTGCACCCCTGGCTCCTTCCTGTCCTGCTAGCACCCCCTCCCAAATGAGGAAGTCAGGGAGCTGGAAAGAAGGGGAAAGGAGAGGAAACGCTCCCTGAGAAAAGGGTGCCAGGTGGGGTTCATCCCCCACTGCTACCTAAATAAACCCTTTGCCTATATTCCAACCTGTTTCTTATTTATGGTCCACAGTCAGGAGCTAGGGGATCTCAGGGTACAGAATGCTGGGCCCTTCACACACAGTCAGGAAGGATTCAGTCACTCATGTGGAATCTCTCCACTTTATGGCCCTTCATTCAGAATTTCCAGACCCTGGTACCTGGGCTGCCTGAGGAAACCAGGAATCACATTCTCCAACTTTCTGCAGGTAACAGGACTGAGGAGGCAGGGAGAGTAGGAGGGAAGGTGGGGGAGGGTGACTTTGTGGTTTTCTTGGAAATAAATGGGAGTTTGGATCACAGATTGAATTATTAATTGGAGGAGATTGAGACTCTGTCTCTCCACTGACCTCAGGATTGGGTTAGACACATCTTCAGGATAGGTTCCCCTGTCCTCTGTAGAATAAAGAATCCTCCCGAGCTATAAATCCCTCTGTAACTCTGGGTTTCCTGCTTTGGGCTGTCAGTGACTTGCAGTTACTAGTTCAAATGTCTGTCCAGCCTCAAGGATAGAGTCCTAGGAGGGAGAGCCACACCTGCCCCTTCCCTGACATAGTCTTAGCTCCTGGGATGGGGTGGAGGGTGGAGGAAGGAGCTTTCCCAAGGAGCAGACACAGTATTTCACAGTCACAGGAATCAGACATCTGAAATGGAATTTTACTTAGTTCTGTATAACATCCTGGCATTGCTCTGGAGCACACGTTATCGCTAATGGCAGAAAATCACCTTATCAATTCAGAAGAATCTACTCACTTCTGGATTTTCTGTCCTTTTCAGGCTCAGGTCAATTCTGGATGCTCTCCCTTCCCTCTTCCCCTATTCGTCCTGGGGATGATAATACTTTTTTTCTTTTTTTATAAATGTATTTATTTATTTTTGGCTGCATTGGGTCTTCGTTGCTGCGCGCGGGCTTTCTCTAGTTGCGGCGAGCGGGGGCTGCTCTTCATTGTGGTGCGCGGGCTTCTCATTGCAGTGACTTCTCTTGTTGCGGAGCACAGGCTCTAGGCGCACCGGCTTCAGTAGTTGTGGCCACTCGGGCTCAGTAGTTGTGGCTTGCGGCCTCTAGAGCAAACGCTCAGTAGTTGTGGTGAACGGGCTTGGTTGCTCCGCGGCATGTGGGATCTTCCTGGACCAGGGATCGAACCCATGTCCCCTGCTTTGGCAGGCGGATTCTCAGCCACTGCGCCACCAGGGAAGTCCCGGGATGATCATTCTTGATGGAGCAGGGCGTCACGTTTTCCTCACAGGTGTCATTTCTACTTCCTGTCAGTGGGCCTACTGGTGTGAGGGCTTCGCCCTGAGGTCTTTTGCCAGCCCTTCATCTGAGAAGCAAAGCACAGATCTTCTCTGCTCTGTTGAACCCAGCCCACTGTACGTTCAATCTTCCTTGTCCCCAGAAATCTGACCCCACCAGTAGTCCAAGAGCCAATCCCTTTTATAGGAACCAAACCAAGGACTCACTCGCTCTTTTTTTTTTTTTTCAGTTGAATTATAGTTGATATACAATATTGTGTTAGTTTCAGGTGTGTAGCAAAGTGATTCAGTTATATATATATATTTTTCGGATTATTTTCTATTGTAGGTTATTGTAAGATATTGAGTATAATTCCCTGTACTATACAGTAAATCCTTATTGCTTAATTATTTAACGTATAGTAGTTTGTATCTGTTAATCCTATATTCCTATTTATCCCTACCCACCTCGCTTTCCCCTTTAGTAACCATACATTTGTTTTCTATGTCTGTGAGTCTGTTTCTGTTTTGTATATAGATTCATCTGTATTATTTTTTAGATTCCATATATAAGTGATATCATATGGTATTTGTCTTTCTCTGTCTGACTTACTTCACTTAGATGATAATCTCTAGGTCCATCCATGTTGCTGCAAATGGCAATATTTCATTCTTTTTATGGCTGAGTAATATTCCATTTTATATATATATATATATATATATATATATATATACACACACACATTTTATACACACACACACACACACACACACACACACACACATCTTCTAGGCCAGTCGTCTATTGATGGGCACTTTGGTTGTTTCCATGTCTTGGCTATTATAAATAGTGCTGCTATGAACATTGGGGTGCATGTATCTTTTCAGATTAGAGTTTTCATCTTTTCCAGACATATACCCAAGGGTGGGATTGCTCGATAATATGGTAGCTCTACTTTTAGTTTTCTGAGGAAACTTCATGCTGTTTTCCATAGTGGCTGCACCAATTTACATTCCCACCAACAGCATAAGTAGGTTCCCTTTTCTCCACACCCTCTCCAGCATTTATTATTTGTACCCTTTGATGATGGCCATCCTGACTGGTGTGAGGTGATACCTTATTGTGGTTTTGATTTGCATTTCTCTAATAATGAGCAATGTAAAGCACCTTTTCATGTGCCTGTTGGCCATCTGTATGTCTTGTTTGGAAAAATGTCTATTTAGATCCTCTGCCCATTTTTTGTTTGGGTTGTTTGTTTTTTCAGTATTGAGTTGTATGAGCTGTTTGTGTATTTTGGATATTGACCCCTTGTTGATTGCATTGTTTGCAAATATTTTCTCCCATTCCATAAGCTGTCTTTTCATTTGTTGATGGTTTCCTTTGTTGTGCAAAAGCTTTTAAGTTTGATTAGGTCCCATTTGTTTATTTTTGCTTTTATTTCTTTTGCCTTGGGAGACTGATATAAGAAAACAGTGCTACCATTTATGTCCAATAATGCTTTTTTTTTTTTTTTTTTTTTTTGCGGTACGCGGGCCTCTTACCGTTGTGGCCTCTCCCGTTGCGGAGCACAGGCTCCGGACGCGCAGGCTCAGTGGCCATGGCTCACAGGCCCAGCCGCTCTGCGGCATGTGGGATCCTCCCGGACCGGGGCACGAACCCATGTACCCTGCATCGGCAGGTGGACTCTCAATCGCTGCGCCACTAGGGAAGCCCCGGGGTTTTTTTTTTTTAATTAAAAAAAATTCGACAAATAAATGACACTGAAAAATATCTAATTAGAAATTTCCAAAGATCTAGAGCATAAAGTTATTTACAACACAGATTTGTTTGAAAACAAACGACAGGCAGCAATGGAGGGTGGATTAACATTTTGGGTTGGGAATGAAAATCATGCCATGAATGCATATTTAATGATTAACAAAGGAAGTCGTGATCTGTGTTAATTAATAAAGCACATTATAACCTAAAAAAAAAAGAAAGAAATTCTCCCAACTTGCACAAGCTCTCCAAGTTTGGAATAAGTGAGTCAAGGTCACATGGTAATGGTCACCCCCACAGCAAAGACAAAATCAAACAATTCCAGCCTGGTTGGGAGAGGACTGGGGTGTGATGGTGTCACAGGTGCCACAAAGGATAGACTGTCCCAGCTCTGAAAAGTCAGAATGCTTGGAGTGGGGTTGACTTAGATGAGGGTGGGCAATTTGTGACAGGTTCTGAATATTAAGAATATCAATATCCAGGGACTTCCCTGGTTGCGCAATGGTTAGGAATCCGCCTGCCAATGCAGGGGACACGGGTTCGAGCCCTGCTCCGGGAAGATCCCACATGCTGTGGAGCATCTAAGCCCATGTGCCACAACTACGAGCCTGCGCTCTAGAGCTTGCGAGCCACAACTATTGAGCCCGTGTGCCTAGAACCCATGCTCTGCAACAAGAGAAGCCACCGCAGTAAGTCTGCGCACAAGGAAGAGTAGCTCCTGCTCGCTGCAACTAGAGAAAGCCTGCACGCCAACAAATACCCAACGCAGCCAAAAAATAATAAATAAATAAGTTTATTTAAAAGAAAAAGAATATCAACATCCAGAAAGGGTGCAGGGACTGGAAGGAAGCACAATGAATCTGGCATAGCCGACGCATTGCAAATTGAATTTGCAAGCCGAGGCTTGCAAATTGAACAAAAAGTGTTATATAAAAGCTACATTTTCACAAATTAAAACAACAACAACAACAACCTGAATTTTCTTCTGTCTGGCATGAATATATTTTAAAAGAAGACTGTTCCCTAATTTTAGGAAACTTCCCAGGCTGGCTCTCTAATTATGCAAACAAACCCTCTGTTATTCAAAGTTATACAAGACTCTCTTCTGAAAAAGGACTTTGGTCCAAAGGAGATAAAAGTGCTCTTGGGTGATCATGTAAGCTTTTCTATGTTGATTCTGGAAACAGAGTCTTAAGTAAGCAGAGGACGAGACTGAGGAAGGGCTTGTATGACATGTGTTTGTCTGGACTTGTTTGAATCCCTATTGGAGTCCTATATTGAAAGGACTCTGGTTATAAACTACAGAATATCTCTGGGTTTAGGTAATGCCAAAAGACCATTCATTACACAAGGGTGTCTCACACAGCCTGTTACGGGTTGAATTGTGTCCTCCAAAAAGATGAGTTGAAGTCCTAACCCCCAGTACCTGTGACTGTGACCTTATTCAGAAATAAGATGGTTGCAGACGTAATTAGTTGAAATGAGGTCATATTAGAGTAAGGCAGGTCTTTACTTCAGTATGGTGAGTGTCCTTATAAGGAGAGAAGAGACACATGGGAGAAAACCATGTGATCACGGAAGCCAATTAAAAGGTGGCAACTGCAAGCTAGGGAAGGTCAAGGATTGAGGCAAACCATGAGAAGTTAAGCAGGTGCAAGGAAGAGTCATCCCCTAAAGGTTTCAGAGGGAGCATAACCTTGCTGGTGCCTTCATTTCAGACTTCTAGCCTTCAGAACTGTGAGACAATGCATTTCTGTTGTTTTTGCAGCAGCACTCTGTTAAGGCAGCCAGCCATACCTAGGAAACCAACAGGTGACTCTAGGGCAGGGAAGTGGCTAAAGCCCTGAGATAGACTGGAAAGGGGACCTGGAACCTCGAGAGACTCTTTCCTTTCCACCATCCACTTCAGTCCTCTTTCTCACTGCAGACTATAATTCTCTGTTCTTTAGCCAACACTTCCCGTGATCATTTCTTGCTTCTTCCTTTGTTCAGGTATACAGGTGTGGGGCAGAAACCAGTCCGGGGTAGCCCCTCCCTTTTTCACTACTAAGGGCTGAGTTATGACTGGTTTAAGCTTATTAGGGCATGCCCACTCTTTTGTCTGTGATTGGTTTAGGGATAGACATGTGACTCAGTTTTGGCCAATGACATTTGAGGATCTGGAAACCTTCTGGGGCTTCTGTGAAAGATTTTCTTCCCTGGTAAAAAAAAAAAAAGAAAGAAAGAAAGCTGTCTAGGGAGGACCCCTGCTTGTTGCCTTCCTGCTGTGGATGGTTCCTTGTTGAGGACATGATGTTTGGAGCGGTGGCAGCAGTCACATGACTGTGAAGGGAAGGTCAGGAGTAAGGAGGTACTTAACTGCCGGAGCAGCGTGAACCTACAGTGACTCCTTGGGGGAAGGCAGAGAGCTGGGTGATTAGTGGATCTAATACTGGCTAAATGTTGTGCACTGAGTAAGGTGCTCTCCACATCCTGCTTCTCATCTGGAATGAAAACGTATACTTCTTAGAGTTAACCTACTTGTAGGTTTGGGGAAAAAGGACAAGAATCTGAACAGAATCTGAAGAAAATGTATGACTCATTGGATGGAAAGGAAAATAAATGCCTCTAGTTGTACTCCCAGAATTGTTAGGATTTGAAATGTCAGAATGAGTCATAACTGGTCATGTTTTGTAAGTGAAAAAGCAATCCCATTGTGTATTATTCACATGGTGCATGATTACTTCATGGAGGTGGATGGGAACAATCTATTGCCCTTTAGTAGAATGGTTTCAGAATGAGAAAAGAAAACCATTAAGTAAATCAGGATAAGCAGTGCACGATGCTCCTAATTCCACCACTTTTCCATAGATCGATTTGCACTACCTGAGAATAAGGGGCAGACACCTCTCCCTGCTGTACACAGAGGCATAGCCGCTACCGCCTAAAATTAGCCAATCAGAAGTTAACACATAAACTCTCCAGTTTCATATCTTGACTGTGGTGAACTGTGACTAGGAATGGAGTAACTCTGTCCCAGAAGGTCATAAGGAACAGAATGCTTATATAAACTAAACTGCCAGGGGCTTCCCTGGTGGCGCAGTGGTTGAGAGTCCGTCCGCAGATGCGGGGGACACAGGTTCGTGCCCCGGTCTGGGAAGATCCCACATACCGCGGGGCGGCTGGGCCCGTGAGCCATGGCCGCTGAGCCTGCACGTCCGGAGCCTGTGCTCCGCAACGGGAGAGGCCACAACAGTGAGAGGCTCACATACCGCAAAAAAAAAAAAAAACAAAAAAAACAAAACTAAACTGCCTTAGACCTCTGTAAGAAATTATATGGACAGCAGTTGCAGATAACTGAAAAATATTGTTCCCTTCTGTCAGCAAAACTGTTGAGCTCTACTCTGCTGAAGTCCTCATCGGGTTCTATTGAAGCAGCAGATGGACAGGACTGAATGGGAAGTGAAGTCCTTTGCATTATACTCCCCTGACCACTCACATTAATCCTGAGACCTTTACCAGTTCACTGACCACCAATCACAGCCAATCCTGAGGTGGAGGCAGGTCTATACTTCTCAACATAAGGGACTGGAATGAACTCCCTCTTGCCTTTGCTGTCCTCATTCCACCACTGCTCTTCAGACTTTTCTTGGATTTTCAGGATGTCTCTTTTCTTAAAGTCAAAGAGAGGTTGGATAACACATCCTCTGGCTCTTCCTGCCTGAGAATCACTCCACTTCCCTGCCTGGCCTTGGGAACTGGTTTTATCGATGTTGTAGTGTCTAAATAGTACATTTTGTAGAATTCCAGTAAAGTAGGCAATGAATCAAACTTCTGATCTTCTGTTTGGAATCTGAGGTGACTCAGCTCAGTTACTCGGCTCCTCCAAGTGGAAGTCGCCTACCTTGGCCATCTCTGCACCCACGTGCTGAGACTCAGTAGCCGTGTGCATCCCCACCAGCCCCAGCATCGACACCACAGTGGACCAGCTGGTGTCTCAGCCTCACTGTTGTGCCTGAAATGGCAGTAGCAGCTGTGAGCACTCGCCACTGGAAGTCTCTCTAGTCATTTGATCATTTTTTCTTCATAATTTTTTTCATATTCATATTTTCAGACTCTCTTCTACGTATTTAAACATATTAGATATATTCATTTTGTATTTTTTCAATATTCCAACATCTAAACATAAAGTTCTATTCTGCTATTTGATATTTCCACTGACTGTTATTCCAGATGCCCTATTTTTTCTTTTGTGTTTTGTTTTGGTTTTTACACTATAAGCTCTTAGTTTTTGAGACTTTGTCTCTCAAGATTCTTTCGGGTCTGGTCTGGTGGTATATTCCTCCAGAGAGGATTTGTGTTTGCTTCTGCCAGGTGCCTAAAGTCCTTCCAAGCTGAGACTACTTTAAATAAATCACTCAGCTGGATGTTTCTTGAAACTCAAATGCCGTGTGTATTTGTGCCCTGATCCTGCTTGAGGACAAGCTTGTGGTTATGAATTTTTATGAGAGTCTTCTTTCATTCTCTGGAAGACCAGCTTTCTTCTTGTCTTTGTCAACTGGAAAAAAAAAAAAAAAAAAAAAAGCACAACCTGGGGAATTCCCTGGTGGTCCCGTGGTTAGGACTCTGCACTTTCACTGCTGAGGGTGCTGGTTCAATCCCTGGTTGGGGAACTAAGATCTCACCAACGGGGTGGTGTGGCCAAAAAAAAAAAAATCAGCACAACCTAAAGTTGAGAATTATGTTTTATTTGGCAGGCTTTCTGAGGACTTCATGCCTGGGAGACAGCCTCTCAGATAGCGCTGAGGGGCTACTCTGAAGAGGTAAGGGAGGAGCCAGGATATACAGAAGTTTCATAACAAAACCCAGGTAGTCAGAATATCAGAAGATTACTGTTAATGAAAGAAAACCAGACATCTCAAGTTAATGAATTTAGCGCTTGTCTATGTATGAGAAGATGGAAAAGTCTGGGCTCATTGAAATCATTCCTTTGATATGTACCTCAGCTGTCAGGGGCCAGTATCCTGTGTTTTCCCATCCTGAGACTCCTCAGGGTGCACCGTTAGAGGGGGGCTGCAGTGGCCGATGGCTTGATGGCGGGCATCCTGTTTCCATCCTGAGTGCCCTCAGCGCTCACTGCAGGGGGCAACTGTAAAGTGATGGCTTGAGGGCTGCACCATCCTTTGTTTACTGAAATGGCAGGCGATATTTTTCACTCACATCTTTTCTGTGGTCCTTCCTGAGGCTGCTATTACGATCTGACTCCCCAGCTCACGTGGGCCCAAGTCTTCGACGCTTGCCACTCACACAGGTGTTCCGTTTGAAACTCCACGTTACATTCAGCTTTAGGGTTATCTGCTTAACCCTTGCTTACAGCTCTGGATTTATTATGCTCAGCTGTAAGAACCTCTCTTATTTTCTTTCTAGCTAAGACACTAATTTAAAAGGAATTAAAAGATGTTTTTATCTAGCACTTTTAGGTATTCTGTAGTAGGAGTTTAGCTGCCCTACTGCTAAAAAAAGAACTTAAAGCTACTGTTTTCATTTTTACATCTTGTATCCAGCCACCTTGCCAAAGTTTCTTATTAATTCTGAAAATGTTTTATGCTAGAGCCTGTTGTGTCTTCTAGGTATACTCAGTCTGATCAGTATTTACTTTCTTTTTTGTGCCTGCTAAAACCTTTATACACCGTTGGGTAATAATGGTGATAATGCTTTTTAATGAAATAGATTTAACGATTTTCTCTTTAGAATAACTGCTTTTTTTTGGAGAAATGGACCTTATTAAATTTAAGAAGTTTCCTTATATTTCTATTTTACTTAGAGTTTAAAAAGAAAAGAAAATGGCTGCTGAAGCACATCCAATGTCTTCTTAGAATTTTTTGGTGTGATGCTACTTCCAATTTGTAACCATGCTGTGCCTATTCATGCTTCACTCGTTCACCCCTCTAGCAGGCTGAAGCTGAGGATACAAAGAGAGAAAGACAGAGAGAGAGAGAGAGAGAGCTCTGAAGATATGATTTTCAGGCTGGATTCAAATGATAATGGCCCTTGTGCTCTTGGCTAAGGAGTCTTGAGTTTGTCCTGAGGGCAGTAGGAGCCTTTGTGGGTAGATCAGATTTGAATTTTGAAAAAACATCACTGCTGCAGTGAAGAGAATGAATTGCTGGTGGCTGGAAGACCAGTTAGGATGTGGGTTCCATCGTTGAGACTGGGGGAGGCGAGACATGCTTTTATCTGTTGCTGCTATATCGATGCCCACTTCATGACAGACATTATGTTAGATCCTTTAAACGGAGTATAGGTGTTTCTTCCTGCTCCTTGTGTATATGTGTGGTGGAGGGAGGAGTTTGTGGTAATCATCAGAGGGAACAAATCACATTAATAATAACAAACAAAAAATCCCCATTAGTGTCCCAGGAATAGTAATAGGAATTACTCCTCCAGAGGAATAGCCCCTCCAGAGTAATCTTTGGCTTTCCAACCTCCCCAAGTCCCTTCAGGCACCAACAGGGAGTTCATAGATGGTTTAGCCAACACTCTTGGTTTCCTGTGCAACAATGATTCTTTTTTCTCCTTCCTAACTGACCCTAAATGGTGTTTAGGAATCCGCCCTACAGCATACAGTCATGTGCTTCAGGTGAATCCAGCTCCAGGATGAGAATAAGTCAGTTGTGGTGGTCCTATCCCCCTTGCCAATGGCTGGTTTAATCATGGGCATGGGGTACAAATCTGGCCACAGATGAGGGGCTATCTGCTGGGGGCTGTAGGGAAAGATTTCTTTACTACTAAGGGGGACACACTGGAAGAGTTGTGCTCATTTTTCTCCGCAATATGGTCATGGCTGGCTGCCATATCTAAAACTGGTGAAGCCATGTTGCAACCTTAAGAGGAAAAAACTAAAACCCTGAGGGTGACAGACTGAAAACATAGGAAGAATCTGATTCCTCGATGATGATTAGCTAGCTTTGGGCATTCCTACCTCTAGTTTTATTGATACATGAGATAATATACTTTGTTATTATTCAAGCCAAGTTGAGTTGAACTCTTGTTACTTAACTTTAATTAAGAAACATAACTAACAGAGATGGTTTGTGCTGCCAGTGAGCACACTGCATATGCTCTCCAGAAGGGCTTATGACGCGCAGCCAGCAATGATCTTCCCTTCCCTCTGGGGCTGGTACTGTTTACCAAGCCCAAGCTCACTCTGCTCGCCGCATGACAGGCCAATGAATCAGAGATGAAGTGTTGAGGCAAGGAAGACGACTTTATTCGGAAAGCCTGCAGACCGAGAAGACGGCAGACTAGTGTCTCTGAAAAACCATCTTACCGGGGTCTGCATGCCAGTTTCTTTTATAGAATCAGAGAGGGAGAGGCGGTGAAGAAGTAAAGTAAAAGGACCATCAGTCTTGCAAAACATCTCCTAGAATGACCAGCCTCGGTGAGGGTATGTGTTAGTTTCTTTTTTCTTGCAGCCATTCACAGGTGGGCAGGGTTCCCTGAGGCAGGCGGTTATGTATGATTATAATAACAAAAGCAAAGGTTAAAGTCAAAGAAACAGATCCAACATGGAATCCGATTTAGCTCTTCTCCGTTACAGTACTACCAGGAACTGCTATCCACTGAGCTTTCTTGGCACTGCCACTTCTCGTCAGCATCCCCAATACCAAATGGCATTATGGGAAGTTGGACCCCTAACTGGAGACAAAGCCGAAGGTGAAAGTGAGAGAGACCATCAGAGACTGGAGGGGTAACAGAGTGTCAAGGAGGTGTATGTATTGTGTAGGGTAGCGATGGTCAGCGGAGGCACAGGCTGCTCAAGGGTCCAGCAGGTCAGTGCCCAAATGGATAATTAGCTTTGGGAAGGACTAGGAAGACAGCTTCCTTAATACAACCAAGTTCGAAACTCCATGGATTAGCCCAGGGAGGAGAAGCACTAAAACTGGGCAGCAATTCTCTGGTCCAAGTTTTCCCTTCTCCTTGGGGCTCTTTTAGCTCTGCCTCCATCCTGAAAGCCCAGGTGTACATGGTTCCTCTCATTGTTGTGGCCTAAGGCTGCACACAACACTCTCCTTTGGTTCACCAGCCCAGGTGAACTGGCATGGAGCTTTCCTAAAGACTTAAGCAAACCCTCAGGGATCAAAAGCTCTCCTGCAGGGCCTCTCCGGTGGTGCAGTGGTTAAGAATCTGCCTGCCAGTGCAGGAGACACGGGTTCGAGCCCTGGTCTGTGAAGATCCCACGTGCCGCGGAGCAACTAACCCCATGCGCCACAACTACTGAGCCTGTGCTCTAGAGCCCGCGAGCCACAACTGCTGAAGCCCACGTGCCTAGAGCCCATGCTCCGCAAGAGAAGCCCCCGCAATGAGAAGCCCACGCACCGCAACAGAGTAGCCCCCGCTCGCCGCAACTAGAGAAAGACCGCGCTCAGCAACAAAGACCCAATGCAGCCAAAAATAAATTAATAAATAAAATAAATTTTTAAAAAAGACACTCCTCAGGCTTCCCTGGTGGCGCAGTGGTTGAGAGTCTGCCTGCCGATGTGGGGGACACGGGTTCGTGCCCCGGTCCGGGAAGATCCCACATGCTGCGGAGCGGCTGGGCCCGTGAGCCATGGCCACTGAGCCTGCGCGTCCGGAGCCTGTGCTCCGCAATGGGAGAGGCCACAACAGTGAGAGGCCCGTGTACTGCAAAAAAAAAAGACAAAAAGATGCTCCTGCAAGGCAGCTGGTCAACCAGCTGCCCTCACCTTTCTTTAGGCCTACTCAGATGTGACTTCCCTCCAGGCCAGACCCTGCCACCACACTCTTCAAACTACACAGTAGGCATCAGACTCACAGACTTGCTTTAAACCAGGATCAGTCCCACTGTGAGAGACTCCTGGTTGTGAATCAAGAAAGAGATATGATCAGAGTTTGAGACAAAGGTGGGTAAAGCTGGGTAAAGCTATTTGTCTGAATGAGATAGAGGAAAGGAACCCTTAGGAAGAAAGGCTACCTAGCATGTAGCCTTTAAGCATGATTTAAAATGCTTTGAAAGTAGGGGAGAAGGCTTTGCAGAGGAAATGACATTGAAGTGCAGGCAGGGGCAAAGGAGATTCAAGGCAGACAAGCAGAACTCTGTTCAAAAGCAAGGGAACTGAAAGGCAAAAGACCCACCCTGTGCACAGACAAGAAGAGGTCTGTGGTAACAGGAGCCAGTCACAGCCTCTTTAGTTCACAAACCCTCGAAGGATCAAAGATCATACAACGGAGAAAGGACAGGACAATAAATGGCATGAGGAAAACTGGATAGCCACATGCAAAAGAATGAAACTAGACTACTATCTTACACCATGCACAAAAATTAACTCAAAATGGATTAAAGACTTGAATGTAAAACATGAAACCATAAAATTCCTAGAAGAACACATAGGCAGTAACCTAGTGACATCCGTCTTAGCAGCGTTTTTGGGGATCTGACTCCAAAGGCAAGGGAAACAATAGCAAAAATAAGCAAATGGGACTACATCCAACTAAAAAGTTCCTGCCCAGCAAAGGAAACCATCATCAAAATGAAAAGGCAACCTACTGAATGGGAAAAAGTATTTGCAAATCATATATCCAATAAAGGGTTAATACCCCAAATATATAAATAACTCATACACTCAACAACAAAAAAACAAACAACCCAATTAAAAAATGGGCAGAGGATCTGAATAGACATGCAGATGGCCAACAGTCACATGAAAAGATGTTCAACATCACTAATTGTTAGGGAAATGCAAACCAAAACCACAGTGAGGCATCGCCTCACACTGTTAGAATGGCTGTTATCAAAAAGACAAGAAATAATAAGTGCTGGCGAGGATATGGAGAAAAGGGAACCCTCATACATTATTGGTGGGACTGTAAATTGGTGCAACCACTATAGAAAATAGTATGGAGATTCCTCAAAAAATTAAGTATAGAACTACCATATGATCCAGCTATTCCACTTCTGGTATTTATCTGAAGAACACGAAAACACTAATTCAAAAAGATATATGCACCCCTATGTTCACTGTAGCGTTATTCACAATAGCCAAGATATGGAAACAACCTATGTGTCCATCGATGGATGAATGCATAAAGAACATGCGGTATACGCACAATAGAATATTACTCAGCCATAAAAAAAGAATGATATCTTGCCATTTGGGACAACATGGAAGTGAAATAAGACTGAGAAAGACAAATACCATATGATATCATATGTGTAATCTAAAAAAGCAAAGCATGACTTCCCTGGTGGCAGTGCTTAAGAATCCGCCTGCCAATGCAGGGGACACGGGTTCCATCCCTGGTCGGGGAAGATCCCACATGCTGCAGAGCAACTAAGCCCATGCGCCACAACTACTGAGGCTGCACTCTAGAGCCCGCAAGCCACAACTACTGAAGCCCGCATGCCTAGAGCCCATGCTCCGCAACAACGGAAGCCACTGCAATGAGAAGCCTGTGCACCATAATGAAGAGTAGCCCCTGCTCTCCACAAGTAGAGAATGCCCACGTGCAGCAAGGAAGACCCAACGCAGCCATAAGTAAAAATAAAAGTAAAGCAAAGCAAATGAATAAACTAAATGAAAAAACAGAAACAAATTCATAGATATAGAGAACAAGATTAGCAGTTATCAGAGGAAAAGGGGGTTAGGGTGTGGGTGCAGGGGGTCAACTGTATGGTGATGGATGGCAATTAGACTTGTGGTGGGGATCACTTTGTAGTGTATACGGATGTTGAATCATAATGTTGTACACCGGAAACATTTATATATATATAGTATACCTGTAAACCTGAAACACACATACACATATGTATGTGTACAGATGTACAGGCATATATATATAGTACCACAGAGGGGAAAAGACAGATGTCATCACTGGCCCCTTCTGGTGTGACTCCCCCTCTCAGATCAAGACATGGGAGCACAAGGAACTAGAATAGAGATTAGATGAGAGTAGAGGTGAAGGGGTGACTGTCTGTGGCCAGAAAATGGGAGGAAATGAAATGGATGGGAACCTGCATTTGTATAATGCCTACCATGTGCCTGCCGGCGGTTGTGCTGGTCCTTTCCAAGCTTTATTTCTTTGAAGTCTCACCAACAATGCTTTGAAGTATTACCACCTTTTAATAGATACCTAGAAAACGTTGGATTTGGGAATCAAGAACCATGTTTTTCACAATTCACCGTGTCCAAGTTGTTTTTGCAGGATGCACACACCCTGCTGCCTCAATCTGAATCCCATTCCCATCCTGATGACCAGTTTTTAGTGGACATTTTGGGCTGTCTCGCATCTAAAACCCTTCCTTTGTTTGAGAAATTCCTGTGATGATGATGATGATTCCGCTTTACTGGGGTATGATTGACATGTTCCACCTTATTATTTTGGATGGGAAGCAGAACCCATGTACCTGTCAACACTGAAAACACCAGGTACTCACTCTCCTGGTGTCCCTTCCAGCTATGATAAGAGCACATGACCAAGGCTCAGGTGGTCAGAAGCACGACCCTGGACTTGAGTTTGGAGCTAGAAGTGAATGAGACAGAGAAGATATTTTCAACTGTTGACCATCAAGTAAGGCCATCAAGCCATCAGCCACTACAGCTGCCTGGACTGTGCACCCTCAGGGGATACAGGATGGAAGAAAACAGGATACCAGTCCTAGAAAGTTAAGGAGCATATCAAAAGAATGATTTCAGTGAGCCCAGACTCTTGCATCTTCCCATACACAGAAAAGTGCTAAATTCATTAACTTGAGATGTCTTTTTTTTCTTTAGTTAGCAGTAATTTTTGAAGTTCTGACCACCTGGTTTTTTGTTGCAAAGACTCCTGTGTATCCTGGTTCCTCCCTTACCTCTTTGGAACAGTCCCTCAGAGCGATCTGAGGGGCTGTCTCCTGCACTTAAGTCCTCAGTTTATCCACCAAAAGAAAAGATAATTCTCAAAACAAACAAACAAACAAACAGGATGTTTCTGAGCAGCAGCAGCAGTTTCTAGGTCCAGGGGCTGCAAAAGGCCGGCAGCGACATCTAGTGTCCGATGGCGACAGCAGTGGCCTTGGCCCCTCGCTTAGACTTGTGGCCGGTCTGTGTTCCTGCCAAACCTAGTTCTGTAGTCTTCTTGGTAATTCTGAGTGTTACACACTATCCTGCAATCAATCGTTTCTCTCCTTAGGTAAGTCAGAGTTGGTGCCTGTGGCTTACAACTAAGGACTTTGACACACATGTTGGGCAAAGTCCCAGAAGCAGAAAATGCTGGAATAAGACATATTTGGATCTTTAAACAGACCAGGCGCAAAGACTTTAGCTAGGTGCTCCTCCACCATCCTGATCTCCTGTCCTGGAGGCTGGGCTGTCCAGAGAGATGCAAAAGCCAGACGCTCCAGATCTTCAGCAGGTGGTGGGGCTGGGGAGGTGGGGGGCGGGAGGGTGACAGAGGGAAGGGATTGGGGACTGGATTGAAGAAGCACCAGAGACAAACTTGGTAGAGGGGCTCAGAGAGGAGTAACGTGGGGTTGGGACTCCCGTCCCATCCTAGGTCTTGGCCCCAACCTAGCTCCAGCCTCAGCTCTGTCTCATCTGTGCCAACTTCAAGCCCACCACCAGCCTCCCCTGGCCTCAGACTCAGCAACCACTTACCCAGCCCCAGCCCCAGCACAAGGTTCAGGGGACCTGGTTCAGTTCCCCATTCAGGTGTGGTCATTCCAAGCAAATTTGTTCTCTGCACATCCTAAGCCCCACTGAGTGGGCACTTTCATCTTCCTGTTTCGTGACCCACCCCCATTACAGAGTGTCTCAGCAGATGTGCTCCCCTGGCCTGAACCACAAGCCCTGACCTTTGTGTCCTTGGCCCCTTCCTGGGTCATGGTCTTCTTCCACTTTGAGGTCTATGCCGACTTCCCATGGCTTGGTCTTGGGTGAGCTGGGATAGGAGAAGATTCTGGGAGGCGAGGGGTGAGAGGCAGCTGTATTAGGCACTTAGAAGCCCAAGATCAGCAGGGCCAAACGTGGGAAAGCCTCATATTTTTGTGTACCTCAAATAGAGCCACGTTTCCTGTGGGTGATGCCCTGCACCCTTGTCCGCCCCTTCCTTCCCATCCATATTCTGCAGAGGAAGCCGCCAGTGGGTGTCCTTAGGCAATGGCTGGGCTCAGCTCAGGGATACCCAGAGGCTGCAGGCCCCAGAGGACCTAAGAACCTCTCACAGGGGCTCCCAGGAGAAAGCCTCAGAGCAGTTTTAGAGTTCACAGACACAGACACACTCCCTGATCTCGCGGACCTCAAAGCAAATTATGGACAGACCTTGCCCCTCTTGTCTGATCTCCCTAGACCCGACCTGGATCAGCATCTGCTTCTGGAGCTTTCTCTACGTGGGTGGACATTGCCAGTTTGGTCCATCAGCAACCACTTGTGATCTCGCCACATCTGATGGAGCACGAGGCCCCGAGTCCACACATTCAGTGGGTCCCGTGTTCAGTGTTTCTCTCATGCAGTGAGTTGTATTCACCTTTGGCACCTTTGGGTGTCAAAGATCCAGAGATCAATAATGCAAGGTCCCACCTCCTGGGCCTCAGGGTGCAGGGGCAATGTAGGGGTGGAGGGCAAAAAGGATGATGTCACTGCAGGCTGAAAAGTGCTCAGATGGGGTGAGTAGGCAGAGGGGGAGGCACCTAACGCAGATCAGTGGTTGGGATGACTTCCCAGAGGTGGCTTCTGCCCAGAGGAGGACTTGGGAAGAAAAACTTAAATAATTTATCTAGTCATTTAAAGCATAACTTTCCTATGAAGATATGCATCAATGATTATGAAGCAGGATGCAAAATTTTCAATGTAAAACAAGATAGTTCAAAGAAACGTCCCCTGCACAAAAGGTCTACACCCCAGACTCTCCTGACCCTTCTGATTCTGGTATGAGTCCTGTCCCCTCTGTGATCAGCTTCCAGTATTAGTGGATATTAGTGACTGCTGCATCAGGGGTAATTTTGAGAAGAATCAGTCCCCGGGAAAACGTCTAAATTCCTTGGCCTGGCCTTTCATGATGGGACCCTCTGCCCCAGCAGCTTCGTCCTACATTATTCTCCTACACACTCCCTGTTCTCCACACAGCGGCTATTTACAGCTCCCCAAACAATAAACAATGTGCCAAGCTGGTTCATGCCTTTGTGATTTTCCACAGGCAGTTCCCTTTGCCTGGAATGCCCTTGCCCACACAGCCATCTGGCAAACTCCTACTCATCCTTCAAGACCCAGCTCAAAGAGCTCCTCTTCTGTGAAGCCTTCCCAGCAGGCCCAAGCAGAATGAGTCAATTCCTCCCATGCACCACTCTATGGTGTCTGCGTCCCTTTTGTTGTGTTGAGATGTCTTTATTTCACTTTTTCTCTTAATTTGATTGTGGGGGCTTGGAGGGGAGAGACTGTAGCATTCATAGTTGTATCCCTAGCCCTAAGCAGAGCATCTGGCATGGTAGGTGTCTATAAATATTTTGTATGAGGAAGCGAATGAACAAAACTTATTTTGACTCCTTTTCTTCTCATTTGTTTTTATAGTTGAGATAGGGAGACCAGCATTTTCTCCTAAACTTTGGAAAATGCTAAGAAAACCACTCACTACTAAGAGAAAAAATCCATTTAACCTCTCTTTGTAGCCATTCACGTCTTATAAAGCTGTGTAGTTCTACTGAGAACTCACCAGACCAATGTGGTTCTTTAACCTTGAGGCATCAGTAGGTGTAGCCAGTGGGGAAGGGGCAGGGGTGCAAGAGGGGCTGACATATATCATGTTCCAGGCACTGTTCTAAGTCCCTTATTCATATGTGTATACACAGTGTCTCATTTTATTCCCATAGCAATCCTATCAGGTAGCTACTATTATCCCCATTTTAGAGATGAAGAAATCGAGGCACAGAGAGGTTGAATAACTTGCTTACAGTAATACAGCTAATAAGTGGCAAAGATGGGCTTCAAACCCACGAAGTCTAGCTTGGGAATTCATTCTCCCAACCTCCCTGCTATATTTGCTTGTTGACTGAGAAAAATGCACAACCTAAAAGTTGAGAGTCATGTTTTATTCAGCAGACGAAACTGAGGACTTAAGCCCGGGACACAGTATGGCAGATAACTCAGAGATTGCTCCGAAGAGGCAAGGGGCGGAGCCAGGATATCCAGGAGTTTTTGCAACAAAGACCAGGTAGTTGGAACATCAAAAGATTAATGTCAATTAAAGAAAACCAGATATCTTAAGGAATTTAGCACTTTTCCATGTATGGGAAGATGCAAGAGTCTGGGCTCACTGAAATCATTCCTTTGATACGCACCTCAGCCATCTGGGGCCAGTATCCTGGGCTTTCTCATCCTGAGTCTCCTCAGGGTGCACTGTTGGGGGTGGAGGGCTGCAGTGTCTGATGGTTTGATAGGGGGCATCCTGTTTCCATTGTGAGTTCCCTCAGGGCTCACTGTTGGCTAAGAATACAGGCAACATGAGGTAGAAGATGAACGTGCCCTTTCGCTGCCAATCACCGTAGCCCCAGGCTCTGGGATGCCCTGTTGGTTCATAAGTATCCTGCCTGTAAAGGTCCTCAGTGTCACTTCCAGACCCTGAGGACCCAGTCTCCTCTTTGACTGCCCTGTATTTCTACTTCACCATGGAGAGGGAGTGATTTGTTTCACTTGGCCTCATTCAGCTTGGAGCAGAGTCCTCACCGGCCCTGTCGGGACGTGGGCTCCGTGCCTTCCCCCTGGCTGAGGACATGCTGCCTCTGTCTCCCAGGTGCCTTTCACAACAGCACACCCAGCTAGGGAAGCTGGTGAGACCACCTTCCTAGGGTGTGTGTGTCAGGGCTCCTGTACCCCATCCAGGCCATTTCAAGCAAAGGGCATGACATATTCAAAACTTTAGGAATGAGAAAAAGCTAGGCATGTCCATACAGGCAGCTGATGGAAGGGTGTAGGAGAGAGGGGAGGGAGATGGGATGGAAAGATAGTCTACCTTTGATTGTGAAAGGCCTTATGCCCAAAGTAGAGAATTTTGTTGTTTTTTTTACCTCCTATAGGCAGTGGAGAGCCCTCGAAGATTATGTTGTTAGGTTTACAGTTTCATTGATTAAGAAGCTGTTTTTCTTTTCTTTATTTGTAGAAACGTTCTCAACCATTAGGAAACACTGCCACCATGTGGCTTTCGGATGTTGCATACGCCAAACTGTAAACTGCCAATTTCTCTGATACTGTTGGAAAATTAAATCAAAGAACACATCCCTTGATCAAACAGCTGAAGTAAATTAATGGTAAACTTAATCCTAATGTAAAAAGGAAAATTTTTTCAAGAAACCAATACCTGGGTTCAATTATCGGATTTCTTAACTTTGTTTTTAAAATTCTAATCTAACTCTTCAGCGATTCTGACCTCAAGAATCCTTTGTATTCCCAGTAACCCCTATCTCAGAATCATCAACTCTCTGGCTCTGCAAAGGCTCTACCATTTCCAGGTCAGTTTGGCATCAAACTGTCTCCAGGCCATTTCCCTCCATGGTGGCGGATTCTATTTCAGTCCTAGGTCTGTTCTTCTTGTATGGTTCCGCAGTTGGACAGACCCCAATTCAAATATTTCCACCATTTTTTTCTTTTTTAAGCTGAGTGATTTGGGCAACTCACCTAACCTCCCTAAGTTTCAGTTATCTTATCTGTAAAATGGGAAGAACACCTTTTTCACAGGGTGATTGTGAAGATGAAAGATGACATGTGTACATGTCCCCGGCCCATCATAAGGAAGTCCTCTTCCTTCTCCTCCGTCCTTGAGGGCATATTATTGTTAAGCACGCAACATACACTCCGTGGAGGTGATTTAACATCCGAGAGCTTTTACCAGGTTCTCCAGCAACGTTCCCTGAGAGCGAAAGTACTCATCCACTCAGGCTTTGGGAGGACTACCGCTATTTCCGTGCGTTGCCTACCGACGTTGGGCAGGCTGGAGATTGCAATCCACGCGTCTCCCGGGTGCACAGCCGGCGGCAGGTGCGTGGGCGTGGGCGTGGCGGCATTCATTCCTCACCCCTCCCTTCCCCGGGGTTGGGGGTGTAAGTGGATAATTCAATCCCCGTAGGACTCGGCGTCTGGCCTCACCCGCGGCTCGGCGGATTGGCTGTCTCAGCTCGCCCCCCCCCCCCCGTCCCCCCCCCGCCGTCCCAGGTGGCTCAGCCCCCCTGTGGAGCTCTCTGTTTACCTTGAGAGCCCGTCCAAGTTGGGCTCCATCTCTACATTTGCTCCCTCTGGGGCCCCGCCCGCCCCGGAAGCAGGGAGAAAAGCGGGCCGAGCCCTTCCTCTCCCCGCACCGCCCGGAGAGGTCGGGTAAGGGAGACGGGTGTGTGGGAGGGGGAGTCTCAGGCCTGGGAGATCCGGCTGTCATCCCGTCCCGGGATCGCGCGAACCCGGGAGTTCTGTCCCTAGGCTCCTCCGTCTCCGTCCTGTCGTGCTCAGGGTGACGTGCCCACCCTGGGCAAAGAGCCAGAAGCTGGATCTCAGGGATGCCCGGGTCCCTAAAGGAGGCACAGACCTGGAGACTTCTCTCACAGGTGGTCCCCCTCCTCCAGGCGGTGATGACCCCCAAGCCAGCCGGACCCCCGGACGGGGGCTGGGGCTGGGTCGTGGCGGCCGCAGCCTTCGCGGTGAATGGGCTCTCCTACGGACTGTTACGCTCCCTGGGCCTCGCCCTCCCTGACCTCGCGGAGCATTTTGACCGAAGCGCTCAGGACACTGCGTGGGTCAGCGCCCTGGCCCTGGCCGTGCAGCAGGCAGCCAGTGAGGGGGGGGCCCCGAGGTGGGAGGCGGGAACCGGGGTGGAGGGGCCATGAGTGCAGTGGTGGGGGACACACCTGGTTGATTACCAGACAACGTAAGAAAGGTCGACCAGTGTACCTAAGTTCTAGAATATAGTGGGTCTTGAGGTCAAGGCGGAGGGGCTATTAGGCAGGGGGAGAAGTTTAGGCCAGGCAAACAGCCAATGAGAAGTGTTGGAGCGAGTTTGGGGGTCCAGGAGCGTGTCTTCCGTTGACTCCGCCTCCTTCCAGGCCCAGTGGGCAGCGCCCTGAGCACCCGCTGGGGGGCGCGCCCCGTGGTGATGGTTGGGGGCGTCCTCACTTCGCTCGGCTTCGTCTTCTCGGCTTTCGCCCGCAGTCTGCTGCACCTCTACCTTGGCCTGGGCGTCCTTGCTGGTGAGGAGAGAGGGATTCCCGGGTTCTTCAGGGGTGATGGTGGAGATAGAGCGTGTCGGGAGCGGGAGGCCAAGGGCGCGAGGGTCTCCTGCGAGCGGCCGAGCTGGGATGGTGGGGGCAGGCATCCCCAGCTCCTGTCCTCACCCGGTCCTATCCATTCGCAGGCTCCGGCTGGGCCCTGGTATTCGCCCCTGCCCTCGGGACCCTCTCCCGTTACTTCTCCCGCCGTCGAGTCTTGGCCGTGGGGCTGGCACTCACGGGCAACGGGGCGTCCTCGCTGCTTCTGGCGCCCGCCTTGCAGCTCCTCCTCGATAATTTCGGCTGGCGGGGCGCCCTGCTCCTCCTTGGCTCCATTACCCTCCACCTCACCCCCTGTGGCGCCCTGCTGCGACCCCTGGCGCTCCCTGGAGACCCCCTGGGCCCACCCCGAAGCCCGCTAGCTGCCCTCGGCCTAGATCTCTTCACACGCCGGGCCTTCTTAGTTTTTGCTCTAGGCACGGCCTTGGTGGGGGGCGGGTACTTCGTCCCCTACGTGCACCTGGCCCCTCACGCTTTAGATCGGGGCCTGGGGGGGTATGGGGCGGTGCTGGTGGTGACGGTGGCTGCCGTGGGGGACGCGGGCGCCCGGCTGCTCTGCGGGTGGCTGGCGGACCAGGGTTGGGTGCCCCTCCCGCGGTTGCTGGCGATGTTCGGGGCCCTGACAGGGTTAGGGCTGCTGGCGGTGGGTCTGGTGCCGGTGGTGGGGAACGAGGAGAGCTGGGGGGGCCCCCTGCTGGCCGCGGCTGGGGCCTACGGGCTGAGCGCCGGAAGTTACGCCCCGTTGGTTTTCGGCGTGCTCCCGGGGCTGGTGGGCGTCGGCGGTGTGGTGCAGGCCACCGGGCTGGTGATGATGCTGATGAGCCTGGGGGGGCTTCTGGGCCCTCCCCTGTCAGGTAAGGGCCTGAGCCAGCAGATCCGCTCGCACCCCTCCTCTGCACCTGGGCACGGAGGCCTCTGAGTTCCTTTCCCCCTCCTCTCAGGCTTCCTAAGGGATGAGACAGGAGACTTCACTGCCTCCTTCCTCGTGTGCAGCTCTTTCATCCTCTCTGGCAGCTTCATCTACATGGGGCTGCCCAATGCGCTGCCCTCCTGCCGTCCAGCCTCACGTCCAGGCACCCCACCCCCTGAGAGGGGGGAGCTGCTCCCCAGCCCTCAGGTTGCCCTGCTCCCCCCAGGAGGCCCTCACTCCACTCTGGACAGCACTTGTTGACCATTTTCTTGTTTGAGCCTCGCCCCCAATAAAGACTTTCTATCTGCTTTCGTTAGGCAATCTCCAATTGTTAGGCAATCTAGGATGCTGCAAACATTCTACTTAAAATATCCCAAAAGGCTGGTTGATAGGAACAGGATCCCCCTAAGCCATGAGAGGCAGGAAGGGTGTTTGTCTAGTCAGTCCGTTTCTCTTTGCCCAAGTTCTTGCCATTATAACAGGAAATCTTTGAGAAACTGTCTGCCTATCAGCTTCAGTTTGTTGGAGGAGGGGGGTGCTCATGGGTGCTAGCTGCCCCATCCTCATTTCCCAGATAACTCTCTCCTGCATTTCAGTCTCCTTCTACTGGCCTGATGAAAACATAAGAATCCCAGACCCAGACTTCAGCTCTCTTAGCTTTATCTCCCCCTCCCCAGCTAGCACCCCCCGCATGTCCCTCACCATTTTCTTAATTTCTTTCCTAAGTTACAGGGGATAGGGGGAAAGAGGGAGGTCAGTGGGCAAGTAGGCGGAACTGTGATCCAGAGAGCAGAGTCCAGGGTTAAATGCTCTGGGTCACCAGAGCTCCTGGATACCTCCCCTCCAGTCCCCAGCGTGACCCCATTCAGCCAACCCAGGCATATGGGCCCCAATTCTTTTTGAGGTTCTGATTATTGTCCGGTTTTCTTATTCAGTTTTATCTCAAAGGGGCATCCCTCTTTCCCAAAGATCTGTCTTCAGGGAAGAAATGTGGGAGGCAACACCAGAGATCACATGTAAAACATGATAAGTCTCTTGGCCTTTGAGTTTCCACAGTCGATTCACAGCTCAGTGGAGCAGGCTGAACTCCTGGATCCTTCAGAAAAGGTTGTGCGAGCAAAGAAGAGATAAGACAAAATACAAAGGGTTGGCACACACATCGCAGGAGCCCCAGGCCTGCTCTGGGGGGGGAGGAGGCAGATAACGATGCTTAAGGCACTGTGGTTCTGTGGGTGCTAAGATGGGGCAGAAGACCTGGAGCCAACAACCCCTGGGTTTCTGGGTCTGACTCCCCCTTCCTGGAGTTCAGTCCTCTCCCAGCCCCTCCCTGGGCAGGGGGACTTTGGTATCCAGTGCCTCTGTTACAGGGTCCTGGGGCTTGGAGGTAGGAGCTGACAAGCAGAAGAAGTGGGGCAGAGTGATGAGAACTCCACTCCCTGCAAGAAGGAAGGCCCCAGCCACCACAAAAGAAGCTGTGTAGGTGCCTGTCACATCCCGGAGGTAGCCTAGATTCAAGAGAGAAAAAGAATACACATGGGTGATCTGTTTCCTGGGACTCAGACACATTTTGGGGTGGAGGGAAGAAAATAATCCTTAACCCATCATCTTGGAGAATTAGAACTCTCAAGGTAGGACTGGATGAGCTCGAGAACTCAGGCTTCCCAGGGGCCTCAAAAGGCCATTTCAACCACCTTCCTGCTTTCAGAAAGGATCTCTGAACCAGCCAGTGGGGATTTGGGGATCCGGATGGAGTCAGGCACACTTGTGCCTTTCTTTCCAGTAGCTGTGGCCTTCTCTTCCATGCCTTCAGTTAATAGTTAGGAAAATGTTAAGGGTCTGAAGGTTCTGGCATCAGGAGCCTGGAGAACTTTGACCAGATGGCTCAGACCCCTGGCCTGGGGCCCAGTGGGCCAAGGGAAAAGGCAGACACTGGCATGTTATGTCTGGCCAGGTCTGACCAGGTCCTCTGAAAACCCCAACTGTAGGTACCCTGCCACTTTGGACCCATTTCAGGGCTGCTGTGGTTGACCATGCAGGCTGTGTATGTACCATACCAGAGGGCAGTATTCACATAACTATAATGTCAATTCCCTCCCTGAATGGTATGACGTGGCAGCCCGCACCCACCTGGAAATCCCAGTCCCCTTACCTGATAGAGGAGCCCCCAGCAGCCCCCCGATGCTTTCTACCATCTGCACCAGTCCCAGGCCACAGTATATCTTTCCAGTTCCCACCAGTTCAGGCAGCACGGAGAAGGCCACTGGGGTCAGGGCCCCTGATGTGAAGCCATAGGCCACAGTCAGAGCCACCAGGGCTGTGGGAGCCTGAGCCGCAGGGTACAGGGCCAGTATCACCCCAGTCAGGGTGGTCCAGAGCATCAGGAGTCTTGCCACAGGCCCTGGGACTGCATCCCCTAGCCACCCAGAAGCCACACGCCCCACAGGGTCAGAAATAGCCGCCACTGAGAGCAGGAAGGCAGCAGGCAGTGGGTCCCAATCTAGGTCCCGAAGATGGGCCACCAGGTGCACGTAGGGAATGAAGTAGCCAGTGTTGATCAGGGTGAGGGCAACGGTGTAACGGAGGAAGGGGCCATGATGGAGAAGGTTGGCAAGTTGGGCCCCAGGGCCACCCACGACAGGGTCCTCGGCCAGGGAGAGTGGGCGGAGAAGAGCACCACAGGCCACCAAGTGGAGGGAGAGGGCAGACACCAGCAGCAGGGCCCCCCGCCAGGCGTACTGGCTGAGCAGCCATTGGAAGAGTGGAGCAAAAGCAAAGGAGGAGAGGCCCACGCCCGTCAGTGCTAGCCCAGTGGCCAGGGATCGCCGACGAGAGAAGTAACGGGACAGGCAGGCCAGGGTGGGAGTGAAGGTCAAGGCCCAGCCAGATCCTGTCAAAAAGGAAGAAATGGGGGTTGAGGGACCCATAAGGAGCTCAGGGCACACAATCATCCCAACACTGCCCAGCAGCAGAAGGTAGCACAGGTGTAAATTACAATCCTAGCTTGATACTTGCTAGCTGTATGACCTTGTCTATTTACTTAATCTCCTAGCCTCAATCTCATCTGCAAAATGGGGGTAATATACTTTATGGGACTCTGGAATGTTTGCAAAGTTAACTACCATAGAACTCTGGAGTTAGACCTGGGCTCTACCATTTCTGGCTGTGTGAACTTCACTTGCCAAGTTGCATAAGCTTAAAGCCTTTCCTCATCTGTAAATAGGATAATGATATCTATTTCACAGCTTTCACATCTGACACAATTTTACAGTAATTCTTCCTTTTACACTCCAGTCCCACTAGCCCTGGGCTTGTGTCTTTGAATTTCCTGATTTCCCCTAACCTGTTTATCATTTTAGTCACCTCTCTTAAGAATTCCCTTCTGGGGGAGTTTGCTGGTGGTGCAGTGGTTAAGAATCCGCCTGCCAATGCAGGGGACACGGGTTCGAGCTCTGGTCTGGGAAGGAGCAAGGGCCACGGAGCAACTGAGCCTGTGCACCCCAACTACTGAGCCTGCGCTCTACAGCCCGCGAGCCACAACTATAAATCCCACATGCCACAAATACTGAAGCCCGCGCGCCTAGAGCCTGTGCTCCGCAACAAGAGAAGTCACCGCCAAGAGAAGCCCGTCGCACCGCAACGAAGAGTAGCCCCCACTCGATGCAACTAGAGAAAGCCCACGCGCAGCAACGTAGACCCAACGCAGCCATAAATAAACCGATGTAATTAAAAACAAAATTGCCTTCTGGGCACAGGTGCTAGCCAAAACTTTCTCTCAGCGTCTCCCTAAGCCTTTTGGAAGGAGCAGGAAGAAGGTAAAAGTCCAGAGGCCAAAAAGACTCAGGCTTTTGACCCGCCCTTGCCCAGGGTCTCACCTGAAAGCAGCCCAATACTCAGGTACAGGTGGGTTAAGGAGGTAGCAAAGGCGGCGAGCAGCATCCCCAACGCAGCCAAGATGCCCCCAGCCATCACCACAGGCCTGGGCCCGAACTTGGTGCTCAGCGCACTGCCCACTGGGCCTGGAGAAGAGGAAGTGTTCTGAGAGAAGATCACAGGCGTCCTTCTCCAGCACTGACCCCACCCCCACCATCTCCTTTACCGTCCCCGCATCTCCTCTCCCTTCCGAGGGTCGAGGGTCACAGGACTCTGGACCCAGGCGCAGCACTCACTCCCGAACTGCTGCACCGCGATTCCTATGGAGGCGATCCAGGAGACTCGCGCTGCCGGCTCCTCAAACGCAGCCACAAACTCCACAAAGAAGACGCCGAAGGAGCGGAGCACTCCGAACACCAGCGCCGACTGGAAGAACGCTGAGAGCACCACCATCCACCCCCAGCCCCCGTCGGGGGGCTCGGCCCTAAGTGCCATCTGGGAGGTAACAGGACTGCCGCCTTAAGCCCCTTCCGGAGCAGGGCTCAGGACGTTCCACCTCTGCCCACCCACCCAGCCGGACCACTCGCAGCCGAGCAGGGAGCAGAGGATGGTAGAGAGGAAAGTACCAACGAGGGCTTGAAAGCTGCAGAGAGGCTGCGTGAGGCGCCTGCGCCCTTCCCCTAGCGGGGGCGATATAGGTAGGGAGACCAGGCGGGCGCTTGGCCCTGCGCTCAGCGCCGGGGGGCGTGGCTCCGCCGGCCGTGAGTGGAGAGTCGAGGCCTGGGCGGGACAGACGGAGGAGAGGGCTGACTTTCGGTCTAGGAGCCAGGGGGCAGCACTGAGTTTGGGCCCCATCCCTGAGGTCTCAGGGTGGATTATCTATCTTATCACTGGAAGTGTCTGCACCTGGCCAGCCCGGCCAACATCCCTGTCTGTAGCTCACCAATGAGAACGCGGGACTCCTCAGAAGGGGGCGGAGCCATAAGGGCAGGGCGGGCTTTAGAACCTGTTCTGGGGCAGTGAGTGGGGCGCAGGCGTGAGGAGGGGACTTTAGCAGGCTAAATAGACGGGCCCTAGGTGACCCAGGAACCAACCAGGAGGTAGCTTCGGTCTCCTGTCCAACTAGCGGGCCAATTCGACCAGATTTCAGCACGGAGATGCGCATGTAAGGAGTCCGTGGGCGTTAGTAGTTGGTAAACTGGTTCAGGAGAGGAAAACACATACTTGCTTGATGAGGGGCCCGGGAGCTGAAAAGCGGGGCGGGGGTGGGGTGGGTGGTGCGGAGGGATTATGAGATAAGATAAAATACCTGGCCAAGCGCCTGAGGCCACTAGAATCTAGATGCCTGGATTCCTGAGTGGGTTCAAAGGCCAAGGAAAGAGAGAGGAGACTGGGCTCTTGGACTCTTGGCGTTGATTTCTGTATTGGGAACTCGTTCCTGTCCCTTCTGTTCCCACTAACAGGAAACCTACGGGTCACAGAGACCAAAAATAACTGGGGAGAGGAAGTGCAACTCTGAGCTCACTCAGAGCCCCACCAGCCCTCGTCTTCAGTGGGGCTGGAACATTTTCCTCTGACCTCTAGTAACAACCACTTCCTAATCACAGCTTTTGATCTCATGATGGGATAGACTAGAGACAAGCCATGACCACTGGCGCAATCAGCCCCTCCTACCCAACCAGTACCCAGTTCCTCCAGCCTTATAGAGCACTAATGACTTGGCTTCAAGATCCTTAGGACACTGACCTTGAAATTTGAACTCAAGGGGTCATACCCAGACAAGTGGGGCTGGGGTGGGGAGGGAGGCTGTGTAATTTAAAAAAGCATATTGAGCCGTATAATTTTATACGTGGGAAATAAAAGTAATCATACCCAAGAAGCTTTTTTTTTTTTTTTAAGTGGAGTTAGAACTTTGGCTGGTGGGGACTGTACCAAAGATGTAAAATTGGTGTAGCTGTATAACAGAGTGGTTAAGAGCGCAGTCTTTAGAATCAAATCACAGTTCCAATCCTGGTTTCATCACTTCTTAACTTGGCCAAGACATTGAACCTCTCAGCTGGTTTCCCCACTTGTAAACTGGGGCTAATAATAGTACCTACTTTTAGGGTTGTCGGGGGAGTTGAATTAGAAAATCTATACACTAAAATGTTTAGTTTAGGGCCTGACGTGTAGTAGGAGTTAAGTAATATTAGCTGGTCTTATTTTATTTTAAGCTGGTCTTATTTTAAACAGGGGATAAGCTGCAGTGGGAGGGGAAGGAAGGTTTTAGTTTAGTTTCTTTGTTTTGTGCTTAAAAAAAAAAATCTAACCCAGGTCATGGGTTTTAAAAGATTAAGAAGCACCACCACAAATTGTAAACGTTGGAAGGAACTTATTCCTTCCATGCTAATGGACTTATTTCATGGATGAGGAATTTAAGTCCAAAAGGAATTTAAGTCCAAAATTTAAGTCCACTTATCAGAATTAGTGACCCCTTAACCTCTGGGTAGAACAAGGCTGTGCACCCATGACACACACAGGACAGGGGAAAGGGTGGGAGAGAAGTGTGTACTAGGCACTGGATGGATTCCAAGACACCACTGCTGGGGGAGGGGTAGAGCTGGCACGCTGGCTCTAACCACACAGCCTTCTCACTGCCACCTCCAGCTCCTATTATCCTTATGGCACCCAAGTTCTATCCATTTTCTGTGGTGGTGGTGGTGGTAGAGGGTGTCCAGGCATTAAGTTCCCCTGCACAGATGCATCCCCCAACATGTTGGTATTATTAGTGGCTTCCTGGTTTCTCCCTGCTGCCTCCACACCTCAGGCAGGAAGTGACTTCAGAGCAGTAGGATGCAGGTGGCTCCGGAGAAACTTCATGAAGTCACTGGTTCCTACACAATGATCCGGAAGGCAAGGGCAGGGAAAGGGAGAACAAGGGCCACTTAAAATGTCTGGTGGGATGGGACAGTGGGATGGGCACAGAATCCAAGATGGTATCCAGGAAGGATAGGATACCCTCTTTCCCCAGCTTCAGAACCCTCAGTCCCCAGATCCCCACAGGCAAGAACCCAGGACACAACAGGCAGCACAGAGAGGCTTCTTTATTCCATGATTCTGATCTTGCAAGATCTAACATCTCCACCCCTTGGCACTCTCCACCTGCCCATCCAATCTGGTAAAAAAAAAAAAATCATGGTTCCTTCTCAGCTCTCTCCTCTGCTTTCCCTACCTCCTTCAATTCTGCAGTGGGGAGTAAGAGGCAAAGAGGGAGAAGAGTAGCTCTCTCACCAGTCCCCAAGTGACAGCCACTAGTACTGACCTGTCTTGAGGAACCTCCACCCTGCAAATTCAAAGTGCTTTTTACCTTCCACCCCATGTCCCTAATCCCCCAGGGCAACAGGGGCAGGACTGTAAATCCAGGCTTCAGAGTATCATCTAACATTCCAGACATTCCCCACAGTTAGGAAGCAACCCATTCCTAACCTTCTACCTACTTGGCCTACACCAGAGACTTTGCCCCTCAACCAACCTCTTAATCCTACCTGGATACTTGGTCAACTAGAGGGTCCATCAGTCAGTCTTTTAAATCTTCTAAATCTCTAATCCCAACAGTAATTCCGATCATAATCCCAAACTACAAAAAATCCATAGTGGAACTCAACCCCTTTTCTCTCCCTGTGGAAGGTTCTAGTGCTTTCACTGGTTCCGGACAGGAATGCAGTGACAGGAAGACCAGGTCACAGACCCAGCTTTTCTAAGGTAAGAAAGTTACCAAGCAGCTGTGACTTCTAGAGGCAAAGAAGTTTCTGGAATCTGGACACTTGCCAGAAGATGTCCGAAAACCTACTAAAGGAAGAAGAGGTTCATCTCAGGTAGAACCCCAAGGAACATTCAAACCCAGACACCTCTGCAGTAAAGGATGAGTCATACTCTTTACTGTTTAGTCAAGATAAAGGGTTTCATAATTCTCCCCTAGGTCATAACATTCTTAGAGACTGGGCAGAATCAGAAAAGATTGCATCATCTCTGGTGAGGAATTTCAGATCTCTCCTGCATGGAGGGATCAACTCAGTGCTAAGAACGGGCCCTAGTGGGAGGATTGTGGGCCCAACTCAAGCTCCTGGGTGAGTTCTATCAAACAGACACAGTGGAGCCAGACCTAGGTGATCAGACGAATGGGACAGTTAGGAACATAAGAGAAAGCCTCTGTAATCATCACCCCAGTTCCAAGACTGACAAAGGCCCCACACCCACTGCCTCTAGGAGGTACTTATTACCTCCACTTCAGGCTCACCATAGGTTCCTGTAACCCTTGAAGAACAGAAAAAGTCTAATCCAGTGCTGGCCTGCTAGAAAACCTACAACATTCAGAATACCAGAGAGGGTTCCTGACCCAATTCCATAAACCCACATGTTCCCAGAGCTGCCCTAGAACAAATTACGTTTCCAGACCTAGAATTGGAGGGGTAGGACACAGAGAACCCCTTTCTCCATTTGAAACAAACCAACAAGCAAATAGGAAAAGAACAACTCTAAATATAAAAGTTATGACAATAATAATACAAAACACTCACGCCAAAGGGGGCAGCCAAGTGCTAATCTCTGCCGGCAGAGCCATGACCTCACATTCTGTGTTTCAGGTCACTTTTGATCACACTTGTGGAAGAGGGACATGGGAAATGCAATAGAATGAAGGCCCTGGTGCCACCCAAAGGCCTCAATAAATTATATTTACAGATAAACCGGATGAGATGGGGGCTGCAGGTGGAAACCAGGCCTCCAGTCTCTCCCCTCCTCCAGCTCCTAGCTCGTTCTCTCCTCAGAAACAATTGTGATCGTGGGGAAGAGGTTTTGACCAGCAAAACAAAGGCAGATCAAGCTGGGATCTGCCACCCCTGCTCTCCCCAGTGAGAAATTAAGGTGGTGGCAAGTCGCTGACATCGAGGGGCCTTGCACACCCCTATGCCCAAGCCTGACAGCGAACCCAGGCGTGAGCCGCAGCTTTCCTGTCTTCCAGGAAGGGAGTGGGGCCTGGGCAGGCGCTCAGCTAGGGCCCCCCCAGAATGTGGTAGTGCACTTTGGTGTTGGTAGCAGCTCCGTGTTTCTGGCGCAGATGCAGCCGAAGTTGACTCTTGTGCCGGAAATGCAGACTGCAGGGGTCGCACTGTCGGAGGACAGCTGAGTCAGGTCCCTCCCCAACCACGACCACCTCTTAGGTGTTGAGCAAAGGAGAACCGCCCAGCACTCTATCTTAGAGAAGCTCTTTAGTCCCTACATGCTCCCAAATCCTCAGGGGAAGGCCTAGGAGCTACGCCCCGCCCTCTTCAGCAAAGCTTTCTCCATCCGTCAGCTCCTCTCCAGGAGGGTAGCGCCCCGTCCAGGAGCCTAACTTCTATACCTGCCACCCCTACCCTCGGCCCCCGCCCCTTACTCACAAGGACACCGCCCACCTCGAAGAGGTCTAGAACCGCTGGGCCGGCTCCTTTCAGAGCTCCGCCCCTCGGTAAACGGAAGGTAATTCCAAGGCTTTGGGTCAAGCCAGGTCGGGTACTCACGTGGTAAGGCTTCTCTCCCGTGTGGATGCGAACGTGGCTCTTGAGGGTCTGTAGGTGGCGGAAGCGAGTCCCGCAGGTGGGGCAAGGATAGGGCTTCTCCCCGGTGTGGATCAGCACGTGCGCGCGCAGATGCGCTACCTGGGAGAGGAGGGGACCTCAGACAGCGCCAATGGGAGGGACAGAACCCTCCCCATTCGGCCCACCTCGCCCTCTCGGAAATTTGCCTGCGAGCCGTCTCTGAAACGGGCGCCGTACCTGTACAAAGCGCGAGCCGCACGTCTCACACTTGTAGGGCTTCTCTCCAGAATGGATGCGGCTATGCGTTTTTAGGTTAGCCGGCCGGTTAAAGCGGGCTCCGCAGACGGAGCAGTGGTAGGGCTTTTCCCCTGGAGGCAGGGAGGAAGGGAGGTCAGGGACTCTACCAGGGGACGGCTGTGGGCACCAAGGCCAGGGCCCTCTCCCCGCTCCTCCCCTACCTGTGTGCACCGTGCGGTGGCTGGCCAGGTTGCCCTTATAGCGGAAGGCAGACCGGCAGAGCTGACACTTGTAGGGCTTATCCTCATCCCCAGGAGCCAAGGGGTCCAGCCCCGATGAGCACCCAGCCACAGCCTCACAGCTCTGGCAGCTGAAAAATTCACTTCCTGGGAAGGGTGGTGGGTAATGACAATACCAGTGAATCCTCAAACCACACGGTAGCGGGTTTTCTTTTTCCCAATTTACTGTTAAGGCTTCTGGAGCTCATTTGACTTGCTTGGGGTCACATGGTTATTGAGAGGACAAGCCAAGATCTGACTCCATGTCTGTCTGATTCCAGAGTACTCTGCTAATCACTCCAATAGTGGTGGTGGTAGGTGGAGGCCCCTACTCGTGGGTGGAAGTTTCTGTTTCTCTCTCCTCTCTTGCACCACTCTGGATGACAGCTTGCCAGAGAGGCCTTGCCAAGCCCTGGGCTGACCACTCAGGCCTGGATGGAAATAGGCCAGAAGTTCCCAAACAGTGCTGTTCACTGGAAGCTTTAAAAAGTACTGATGCCAGGCTCCCACTTGCAGACTTTCTGATCTATGGGGTGTGACCTGGGCAATGGGATTTTTAAAAGCTCCCTAGGTGAGTCTAATCAGCAGGAAATGGACTGGGCCTTTAAACTGGCCTTGAGCAGCCATGGGAGAAAATCCAAGAAGGGGGTAAAAGGAGGGGCTCTTACCTGGTGGTGGATGAGCCCGCCCAGAGTGTGACCCAGTGGTCTCTGGAGCCCGGGGTGTGAGGAGATGGGGGGTATTGACTGGAGCCCCACATTTGAACTGTACAGTGGCAGCAGTTGGAGAGAGCCTAGGCAGATGTCAAGGCCCAGAGACAAGGGTTAGGAGAGATTATATGGCGGCGGCGGTGGTGGGGTTCTCCCCTGGAAGACTTGTTGCCATAGGCCTACCCTCTGGAGGTGAGCCACTATGGACCAATGTGCCATGTCCAATTTCACTGCCCAAGTCCCACCCTACAGAGTAAGCCTGACCTCTGGCCAACTCCCTAAGGTGAGCTGGTGTCCCTGAAGCCCACTCCTTCACTCCCTGTTCCTGACCACCCAGGCCCAATGGCTGTGCCTCTGAGCTGAAGCTGCCTCTACAAATTGCGGGGGGTTCCAGTTTCTGTACCTGCTCTGTGGACCGGAAATGGGTCCTTCTTCACTGCTGCTGCTGCTGGAAGCCTCATCTCCACTGGGGAGCCGGGCCTGGGAGCAAAGTTGACCAGAACTCCTCTCCCCTGCCAGGCTCCCTGCTTGGGAGGCCTGAGAGTTTAGCACGATGAACTTGTACTTTTTCCAGTTGCAGGCCTTGGGGTCTGGGCTGCCTGGACTGGGGGGCCCTTGACTGCAGCTGCGAGACTCAGTAGGTGGGTCTGGGTGCCCTTCGGAGCGCCTGGGACTGCCTGGCGGAGGGGCCGTTGGGGGCGTGGGGGGTTCTGCCTCCAGGGGCCGCAGGGAGATGCCCAGAGGTTCATAGCTGAGAAAAGTGCGATGGACATTAGTGCTATTTCCTAATCTTGGCCTTTGCCCTTGACACCTAGGATGCCACTTCACCCATGAGGAACACCGAGTTGGGGCTCCCTCACCTGGCCTGGATGAAGCGGTGGCATGCCTGGACCACGTGTTCCATCTGCAAGTAGGTGGCGGCCGCAAGGACGGCTGGTGCAGTGGCCGGAGAGAGGCGTAGGCGTGAAGTGTACATGAAGTCCAGAAGAGGAGCGAAGCCTCCGGCTTCGGGGCCCCCGGGCAGGGAGAGCACGTCTACCCCCACTCCTGCACGGCCTCGGAAAATTGAATAGAAGAAGCCACTGGAGAGAGGAAAGATAGGTCATGTTAGGGGCTGGGGAACCGAGGGAGACACGCGCCCCTGTACAAAGCCCCGCCTCCCCCACTCTCACCCCGCCCCCAATTCGCGGACGCCCCGCCTCCTGCTTCTGGAAGGTTTGGCTTCGGGTTCCCTCCCAAAGACCTTCGGGCTCCGCCCCTTTTCCATTTGGTCCCACCCCACCCCTGAGCCACCCCTCGAACCTGCAGGCGATAAGAACTGCCTTGTGAGCTCGAAGGGGTTGCCCGCCAACCAGCAGCGTGACGTCAGTGAGGATCCCGCGCAGGCGCAGCTCATTCAGGTTGCCGAGCACGTCGGAGGAGTGGCGAGTGAACTCGCGGACGTAGCCCAGCGTTCCCTCCGGGGCAGCGGTGGAGCCCATGGCGACGCAGGCCTGCGGGTGCCAAGGAGAGGGCTCAGGGATCCAGGCCGTCCTAAGACGCCTGCCCTTCCGCAGTTTGCCTCTTCCTGCTGAGGTGCAGCTAGAGCCAAGCCCCCGGCCCCGGCTCACGCAGCCTCACTTAATTCATCTTGTTCTTTCTACCCTCAACCACAGCATCGCTCGCTTTCCTCCTCTAGATTCCACAGCGCTTGGAGCGAGTTGAAGGTTCCCACACCGCGGCGTCGATGGCAAGTGTGAGGAATCCGGCCCGCAGCGCCCTTACTTAGACTCCCAGTGCCCTTCCAGCACCCCCATTTCCCCTCTGCCCCACCGCGCGCCTGGTCTCAGGAGTCCGATCCTGCCTGGAGACCCCAGATGACCCGTGGTCCACACCCCTCCAAATCCCAATCGAAGCTCCCTTCCCCGAATCACGAAAGTCCATTCTCTAGTCCCGGATCCCTAGTTTAGCTCAATTTCTGGGCCTCTGTCTTCTTACCATCAACAAGCCCCAACCCTCTTAGGGGGACCCAGGAGTCTGGCTCCCTCAGTCTCTGGTTCTTACCCCCGTCCTGCAGGGGCTTCAGCTTTCTTCTCAAGGGGGGCGGGGTCTCTCTCCCCTCTTGGCCTCGGCTCCTTTATCTGGCCGGGATGTCGGGGGCGGGGGTGGAGGTGGGGTGAACGCCTGGGTCTGTATCCTTCCTTCCTCCCTCGCTCTCCAGATGGCGAACCCGGGGCGGGGTCTCCGGCTCCAGGGCGGGACCTCAGAAACACTAGGTGGTCGTAACGTAAGGGGTCTTGGGCCACTGAAAGTGGAACTGATGGGACATTGGAATTGGGGCGGAGGTTGGGGATATTGAGATTGGAAATATGGGTGACCTGGGTCGTCGGGGGGCCTGGGACAGCGACAATTGGTGTGTTGGCTTTAGGAAGGAACCTGTTACAGGAGAGTGAATACAGCAAAACTCCCCCTTCCAGTGTACGGTATTAAGGGAGATAAAGGGGAGCCCAAATAGGAACTAGGTTTGGGGAGGTGATAGTGGGCTCCCGTGGGGTCTCAGACAGAGGGAGGGTGTGGTCATTCAACAGGCTCCTCTAGCGGGGCCTGCAAAAGAGGGGCTCTGGCCGGGCGCGGTAGGGAGGGGGCGGATATGATTTCTAGTTCGTTTCCTTCCATTGTCCTGCGACCGGACGGCTCCGCCAGCTGCTTCCCCTCGAGGAGGTGGGGAAAGCCCCTGGTGGGGGCCGAGAGACGACGCTCAGGAGACCTAGGGTCCGGTCTTTCGCTCCCGACTCTCTTTTGAATCCTTTTAGGGATCCAGCGAGACAGACTCCCGCCCAAAGTCCTTTCGCCCTCCCCCAGTCCCAGATCTTTAGGGCCTCGGGCATCCGCCCGTCGGCTACGCTTGGAGGCTGGCGGGACGCCGGGGTCCAGCGCGGCAAGTAGGCAAAGCTCGGCAATGTTTGGCTCCTTCCACGAGGGGGCGGACGAGCACTAGCCTCGCCTCGCCCGTCTTCTCCACCCGGCTGGGGGTCCACTCAAACGGGGGCGCAGGATCGATTAGGTCTGAGCGGCTGAAACCTTCGTTCTCCCCCTCTTTGCCCTGGTTTATTTTGTCCAGGGGACTAGGGTTGGGCGGAGGGAGGGAGAGTTAGGCGACAGAGGGGACTTTCCTCCGAGGATGGGTTTCCTATCTGGGGTGAGAAATCCGCGGGCTTTGGGAACAAGGGAAATGAGTGGGACAAGGAGCGGGATCTGAGTCCTGGGAGCCCAGGGTTTCTATTCTTTTAAGCTAGATACTATTATCCGTCTTTAGAGGTGACTTTTTAGTGAACATTAATATGAAAGTTGGGTGCAGTGAACAGACAGAGGGGAAACAGGGAGGGTCTCAGGGTAAAAGAAGGGAGAGAGGGCAGGAGGGGCTGATAACCCCAATTTAAGTCCCTGATCTGGAAGATAAGCACGGGTCACACCCTCGTATTTTGTTTGGGGAGAGTTGGTGGGGCAAGGTTCATTTGGAGAAGTGGGGCAAGAGCTGAGTTCAGCTGCAAAGCGGGACTTGCATCTGGGCTCAGGAGAGTCTACCGTTGCCCAGTAATGACTGACCATTTTCTGTGGAGCTGCATATCGAGGCCTGGGGCCCTCCCCTTCAGATGTGAGGGTGTCTTTATTTGGGTGCAGGAAAGAACTGCTGAGAAACTGGGAATGGGGAACCACTGGGGATTCACGGTGGTGAGGTGGCTTTTGCAAATGAGGGTTGCTTTGGTCTCTGCCCAGTTGGAGGTGGGAGTTAGACTGGGGGCTCCCTTTGGTATCAGGATGGAGTTACTTTTGTGTTGTCTGGTCAATTTGTCAATTGTGGGGTACATGTTTACTATGGGGTGTTGAGTTAGTTTGTTCTGGGCCCTGAAGCCTGCATTCAGGGTTGAGGGCCAGTAGTAAGTCTGAGGTATGGAGCTGATTTTGAAGCTACGTTAGTTAGTTCTAGGGGTTCTGACACCCACAATTTGGAGCTTGTCATCTTGAAATATCAGGGGAACCTGCTAGGTGTTTTTCAGAGGTGGATGAGGATTTTGTTTTGGGGATTCATAGTCATCAGTGTATGTGGACAATCTGATTTCAAGTGGAGTAATTGTGCTGGTTTTGGGGTGCAGTCTGTTTTGGGGTGCCAGATAAGTTTTGAGGTTCAGATTATATTTGGGGGGACATGAAATTCAATTTGGGGTTTTTATTAGCTTGAGGTGGAACGTAATAGGAACCTGGGAGCAAGTTTGAAGGCCTTCTGTGGTTGTGGGTCCTTGCCGGGGAGCAAAGCTTTATATTTGAATGTTGTGCAAACTTACTTTGAGGAGGGGGATATTTCTGTGTATGCACTGAGAGCCAGGAGGCTTTTTCCAGGGGGAGAAACAAGATGAGGGCCCAGGGTAGGAGACTAAAGTTTTGGGGTGTCCTTATTTTGGGGTGTTTTGCCACTCTTTGGGTGCATTTGGTGTAACTGAGTGATGGATCGTGAGGTGAGATTGATTTTAGGGTTCACTTAATTTGGAGCATGATGCTGCTTTGGGATGTCCTTTGCTTATAGCTCCCGCTCACCCCAGATTCTAGAAGTCTCTTTCTTTAGTGAACCTCCAAATATTCCCAGGATTTGAAGGACGAAATTCGGAAAGGGAGTGTATCTCCCCTTATTTCTATGTGGCCTGGATAGATCTGAGGGAGAAAAGGTGGTTTCAAACTCTGAACCCCAATTTCTTAAGGGCACATACCTTGGTTTGGGGGCAGATGGGGGGAAATGGAGTGTGTTGTGGTAAAGTGGACACCCCTGACTAGGGCAGTCTGTTGGAACTGTGCAAGGAGAGGTGGTAGTGAGGTACAAGGAGGGGAATCTTGTACCCTGATTTTCTAGGATAAGAGCCCCAAACAGAAAGCAGACAGAGGACTGGGAGTGTGGGTGAGATGGGGGGGGTTCCCCACGGCAGCAGGGGCTGGGGGGGTAATCCAGGCCAGCTCTGCACACCCCGGTCCCTGCTCTCTTTGGCTCTCCTCCCCTCTCTCCCTCCCACCGCCCACCCCCCCAACCCAAGGAAAAAAACTGCCTGTGCAACAGCAATGGCAGATTCCAATCCTCCAGGCTTTCCTAAACCACCACGGAGACCAGCCAGGGGGGAGGGGAAGGGAGGATCGGGCTTTCCTGCTTCCCTAAGACTGGGGCTATGAGCTTGACCTCCTGGCCCCTAGCCCTTCGAGGAGTGCCCCCCTCCCCCGGCCTGGAAGCCAGGTGTCCTGGACCCTAGCCCCCGAGCGGGGGGGTGGGGGGGGGCCTGGAGAGACGGGGAGGAGGAAGGAGGGAGTGACTTCCAAAATTGGCATCGGGACAGAGCAGGGCTGGCGGGAGGCAGGTGAAAGACGGAATTTTCCTGAAAAAACGGGGGGATCTGAGGACCCCAAATTTGGGGAGCTAGTCCAGAACCGTCCAGCCAACATCCTAGATTTTTTTGGGATTTTTTGGGGCCCCCGGGACCCCTCTAGATGGGGTGAGGAATGTAGTGTTGGGGGAATCTGACTGGGGCATTGCAGCTGCCTCTCCCGCCGAGTTGGAGACGGATGGGCTGGGACGGGTTTGGGGGGGGGGTGTCCCCAATTCTGACTGGGAGTGGAGGAGCCCCCTCATGTGCTCTCTTGTGGGGGTCCCCCCTCCCTAGGGCACTCCCCACTCCCTGAGCCAGCCGAGAGGAAGGAGGCCAGCGATGCGACTGGGGCGGCTCCTTTCTCCTGCACCCCAAATGTGAGGGATGCACCCCAAATTTTGTTCCCTTCAAAATAGGGGACCAGGATCTCAGGGGAGAGTAGCTGAGGTAAGTGGGGAGGAAAGTGTCCCCTGTTTTCAGGAGAGACGTGGCGGTTGGGGGGGAGGTTTGGAGGTGCGTGCTGGGGTGGGGTCGGGCTTTGTCAGCCTTAAAACTGGGGGGATGATTGGAGAGGCTTTCTCTTACACCCCGAAACTGGAGTCCCCCAGATGGAAACCAAAGACAGGCCAGAGGGCCCCCCAACATCCCCAGCCGTTAGTATAGTGTTTGATTTCTGTTTCATCCCCACAAAGGCTCTGCCGAGGATGGGAGTTGGGGGCAGCTGTTCGGTTTGGGGGGTACGGGGGGTGGCGTGAGGAGCAGAAGGCCTTGGCAGGATTTGATGCTGGACAGATAGGGGTCTCGACCGAGGGGGTCCGGCATCCCCCGGGGCCTGAAAACTCTGCTTACACCACCATCTTAGATCTTTTTGATTGCTAAGAGTTTTGGGGGGTGTGTCGGAAGGTGGGGGTGGTAAAGGGTGGGATGGGAGGTAGGAGGATAACTTTTGGGTTTTAGGGGATATTATTGTGATTTGCGGAAGGGGTCTTGGCCCTTGGATTTTGCTTTCTGGTGGGTGTTTTTTAAAAATCAAGTCCTGGACAGGAGAAAAAGGCTGAGGGAAGGCCTAGGGTGGGGGTGGGGAGAGGCATGTTTGTCTCAGCTTAAACGTGGCTTTCTGGGGTGGGCCTGCCTTCCTGGGCCTGGTGAAGGGGCTGGGGGGTTTGTTGCGGGGGGTGGGACTTGGGTCCGGGGGGTCCAGGGGGAGTGGGGACGGTGCTGGGGGTGGACTACCTGGCCCCCAGGTCCAGATGGCCCTCTTCCTGTGCCCTGCTGCTCCCCTTTCCCCCTGGCCTCCATTTCCTGCCTTTGGCCTCCATCTTGTGGCAGGCCCAGGGCCCAGGGCGACTTCCGGCCCCCCTCTCCCGACCATGTTCCGGCCCCACCACCTCTGGACTGCCAACTCCCAACCCTGCTGTCCTTGGCCTTCTGTCTCTCCTTGCTTTCTCTTGGGTTCTGACCCAGGGAGGGGAGGAACGGACACAGGAAGCCTTGGGTCCCTGCCCTTGCTGAGTCGAGAGGCAGTCTGTTGGTCCCCCCCAGTCATTCCCTGCTTCCTCTGCCTCTGACCCCACCCTAGGGATCCCCTGAGCAGAGTTCCTACAAGGAAGATGGTTCCAGTCTTATTACACTGCGAGCTCACCCCTTAGGCCCCTCTCCCTCCAGTTGCCTGCTCAGCTTCTAGCTCTGGTTTCTTGTTTTCCCCAACGCTTCTTGGGGCCATGTTTGCCTTTTAAGCCTTCCCACCCTTGGTGGTAGGGGTCTTCACAGCACTGCCTCGTGCTCCCTTCTTCTCAACCCACCTCAGTCCTGCTCCCGCCCCAGCAGCACACTGTGGTTTGTACGGCACTGTGGCCACGTCCAAACCACACTGTGGTGTTAGAGCGAGGGTGGGGGAGGCACCGCTGAGGCCTGGCCGGGGAGGCCACCCTGGAGAAGCGACACGAAAAACATCTGGGGCCTTCTGGTGAGGTGGCGGGGGTGGGGGATGAGGGTGGAAATGGAGGTGTGAAATCACTGGAAGCTGCCCTTCTGAAATCCCCAGGGTAGTCTCAGGAGTACTGCCTGCCAGAGACCCCGGAGTAAGTGCTGCCTTCAGAGAGCAAAGTGGAGCCTTTGTTGCCCACACCCAGCTCCCCTGGCTCTAGCAGCACAGAAATATTGGCACTGGGAAGAAAGCCTGCCAATATTGGCTGTGCTGCTCCAGGCAGGGTGGTGAGAGCCGCTGAGGAGGGGCTGAGCCCCGGGGTCTAAGGAGAGAGGGAGGTGTCCCTTGCACTCCAGTAATGTCAGGCTGAAGGCACCAAGCTGAGAGGGAGATCTTTACTGTTTTCCGTATAAAAATGTCCATCAGTTGGGGGTCATAGGGGTTGAAGGAAGATGCTCATACAGCAACAGCAAGGTGGGCCACCCGGCAGCCTTTCCACCCTCTCTCATGCAGGCCTTGCTCAGAGTCCCAACCGGTCCACAGGTCCAGGGTGAACAGTGAGAGGGGTGAGAGGTGGAAGGCTCAGCAAGAGAGCAGAGGAGGATCAGCGGAGGTCAAGAGAAGGCCAGAATCCAGGGTCAGGCTGTCTGGAACAGGAAGTAAAATGGGCCGAGATGGGGCGAGCCCCAAGTATGACTCCCACCTCCCTAGAGCACCAGCTCTTTGCAGACCCAATCCCCTGCATGCACAGGAGGGAACCTTCTCTTCCACAGCCCCTGGGAGGGGGATCCTGCTGAGACCCTCCCCCACCCCTTCAGCCGTTGTGGGAGGAGGAGGACTCCTACCCTGGTCGAAGTTGAGTTTCTTGGCTGGAGGAGTTTCTCCTAGCCCTTCGATATCCACCAGGTCACTGTTGGCGTCCGAGTCGTTCAGAGCACTGAGTGTCACATCTGGGAGAGGGGCACAACCTAGGTTCTAGGTTCCCTGATGGTCCCCCCCAACCCGCCCACTTCCCCAAGTTTCAAGCTCTCCCGCTCTCCCTCCCTCCCTCCCTCCCCTACCCCAGCCACCCTCTGGGAACCTTCACTGGGAGAGGAAAAGAGATCTGTCCTTTGACCCAAGCCCAACTCTCTCACTGAACCTCAGATGGGACCTTTAATCCCCAGGCAGCAACTCCACAGCCCTTACCAGCCTTCTGTTTCTTTATGGGGGGACCGCCGGCCTCAGGGGCACTGGAGCTGCTTGGTGGAGGGGCAGCTGGAGGAGGCGACAAGACACCAGATGCCACCTTCTTGGGCCCTTTCTTGGGTGAATCAGCTGGAAGGGGGATGCCGGAGTCTTCATATACCTTGCGTTTCACAGTGGCCTTTATCTGAGCCCTGAAGAGAAGAGAGAGCAAGCTAGGAAGGGAGTCATCAGAGAGGCTAAGGGAAGCAGGGAGGGGAGGACAGGGGCAATGGGCAACTCTGAAAGAACACTGGGGAGCCCCTTCATAAGAATCCAGGTGAGGGCCCCGACTCTTTGCTAGGGTCCTCGTTTTCCTGAAGCCTTGCAGTCACTTAGGGCAAATGGAGCCTGAAGAGTGGAGTCCAACTGAGAGTGGGAAAGGCCCGTCTTCTACTTCTCTTCTGGGAGAGATGTATGAATGTGGAAGGCTACCAGGTAAGCCTGGGTGACCTACCGGGAGATTGAGACTTATTAATAGATCCTGATCCACTAGCTCAGAATCATAATATCCCTGGAAACACCACAGTAGAGCCTCAAAAGATCTGTATAAATAACCAGGGACTTCCTATTACCAAATTCAATTATTGGGTGTCTCTGGAAACCTAAAATCAAATTCTTGTAAGGTCCTGATTACCACAGCATTTTAGTGACTTCTGACCAATTGTGACAATTCTTTTATTCTTTCAGTTCTCCAGGGACTTTGTTGCTAACAAAACTAGCAACAAAGTAGGAAAGATGTTGAGCTGGAAGGGAGTTTGAGGAAGATGGAACAATGGGTATGGAGGAAGAAAGCTGCCCACCCGCCCTTTCTCTGCCAGCCAACCCTCCCTCACACTGTCCGTTCCTTGATGACACAGCTGATGTGATTAAGATCGTCCCCAAATCGCTTCACAGCAGCCCTCAGCATCTCTATCTCCGTCTCCGTCCACTTGGCACTGTCAGAAGGGGAGAAGGGAATAGCGAAAGTGGGAGGAAGAGGGGTGTGGAGCCAGCCCACAGGCTACGCATTCCACAGCAACCAGCCTCCTCCCCGCGATGCCTGGGGCCCCTTGCATAAAGAGGTCCTCCTTAAAAAAACAAAAACAAAAGCAAAAAAGAAAATTCTTAAGGCGCCGTGGGAACCCTGCGGACCCCCAACCACACGATATTGAAACAACCGCCACCTTAGAAGAAAACTTCTCCCCCATCAACGTGAAACAGCTGCTTATGTAAACAGCCCACTGAAACCCATCCAACAAGTGGGGGTCTTACAGACAGAGCCTCTAAACACAGTCTGCTGCAGTCTGACAGAATTCCACATGATTTGGGGGGTGGTGTGGTGTGGGTAGTGGTGGCGGTCTATGGTCTACCAGTTCGCAGCAGGGCAGGGCTGTGAAATGAGTCCGGATTATGAGCCTCGGTCTGTGGTTTATCTGTCATTCATTCATTCAACAATCATTTATTAACACCTACTCTGCGCTGTGCCAGGCACAAAGGGAAACTAACATCTGTCCCTGCCCTAGAGAGTGTCGGTGTCTGTGATCGAGACCCAGCGTCCGCTCTCAGCGTCCATCTCCCAGCCCGGGCTCACGTACCCCGCGGGAGAAGAGTCGGCCACGGGATGCAGCTGCATGGTCAGCTCCCCGAGCTTCGTGAAGGCGGCGCCCGCCGCGGAGAAGATCTCTCCGACCTGGGGGGCGGGGCAGCATTACGGGGGGCCGGCGCACAGTGCCGCACCGGACCGCCCGGAGCCCCTAGCCCCACCCCAGGCTGGACTCCCGCCCGCCCCTCGCCCGGGATGGAAGAGCCGGGAGCCAACTTGGGGGCCCCGCCCTCCCGTGGCCGCCAGGGAGCGCTGTCCGCGAGGGAGGTCGAACCTTTGTAGACGCTGACGTCATGGCCCCGCGCGCCTCCTCACGGAGACGTTGCCGCCGCCGCTACCTCGGAGCCGGGACCACGGAGAGCAGGGCGATCGAACGGCTCCAGCCCCCGCGCAGGAAGTCCCGCCCCTTCCCGCAGCTGATTGGCTCCACCTCGGCCGCTCACCGCCTCACCGCCTCGGCGCGCGGGAAGGAGAGTGGAAGACACCGCCTCGCTTCCGGCCCGGTTTCACTCCACTTCCGTCGAGGGGTCGGGACTCCCTATTTGGAGTCCGAGCTCCAGCCCGGATGCCTGCCCCGCAACCCATGCACACACACGAGGCTTAAGAGAGCAGTTTCTCTTTATTGTGTAACGAGACAAGGCGAGGGGGCCGGAGGGACAGGGAACGGCCAGCCCCGACCTCCCTCCACTGGAGCCGGGCGCCAGAGGTTGAAGAACAAGGGATTCAGTCTATCGCCAGGGAAACCCAGTCCGCAGAGGGCGCCAGACTGGGGGTGGGGCGGGTGTGACTGGGTGGGGAGAGTCTTTAAATAGAGGAGGGGGCTGGAGAGGGGGAACGCGACGGTGCCCTAGCGCACCATGTATTCCTTGCGCTTATTGAGCCGAACTTGGCAGAAAGAGAAGCCTCCGAGGAGGAGGTAAAGGCCCGCGGCGATGAAACAGTTGTAGCTGACTTGCTCGTAAAGGTTGTATATGTTCTGGGGGCCATTCCTAGGGGTGGGGATTAGGCAGAGAAATATCGGAAACATTATTAACAGCAGCCAACATTTACAGAGCACTTACTATGTGCCGGGTAACCATTCTAAACGCTTTTACGTGTATTATCTTAATCTTCATAACCCTATGGGGTGAGTTCTGCTATAGCATACACTTTGCATAGGTGGAGGAGGCACAGAGAAATCAAGGAAAATACCTAAAGAAGCCACACCTAAAGCGGTGGGTTTAGGATGGCCGCTGAGGTCTGACTCCCAAGACTGCTCCTATGCGCTAAACAGAGCAGCCAGTTCCCTAGTCTCTGGGCCCCAAGCATCCAGCCTCCTGCAATTCCCCGCCCATGATTCTGACCACTTCCCCCGCCTCTCCACTTACTCAAAATCTTTCTCCGTTAAGGGAACGTCTTCAATTAGCACAGCGGAATGGACATTGAAAAAGATTCCGAGCATTATCTGCAAAAAGGGAAAGGGTAGGTTGTTGAACTCAGGCACCTGACCTGGTCATTGCCTGAACTCCTCCCACTTCGAATGTTGCCACAACATCTGGGTATGGGAATTACCAGAATGAGCTGGGATTAGGGATGGCTGTTGCCAGATTTGGACTCCAGTCACCTGGAACAGGGCATGAATGGTGACATAGAGAAGACTTGGCTGGGGCAAGGGTTAGGAATAATGAGCAACCAGGAACCAGATTATCATCCTCTCCGGAGGCGTCATTATCACGGGACAGGGAGGAGGGGGTCAAAGGGAATCGGCACTTCTCCATATTACTTTTTCCTGAAGTGGGTCGGGTAGAGTCCTCGGGAAACAAGGCCCAGCTATCCATTTCGGGAACAAGCTCTCCCTTTCCCCACTGCCCTCCATTCAGCTCAAGGATCTCTCAAGAACGTAGCTCTTCTTCCTCCTACCTTGAGGGTACTCCAAATTAACCAGCCCCGGGGCCCATTCCAAGCTTCAGCTCCCCCTCTCCCTTCCAATTCCCCATTTCTCAATTCAGTTCTGTCTCGTTCTCCAGCGGCTAATCAACCACCCCCTCCGGCCTGTCTGCTGCTTTCAAACGCCTGGTGTCTCCTAGCCTTCCAGCCCTCCAACACCCGGGCCCCTCAGGCCCTCTCCTCTCCGGTTGTCGCCGGGCAGTCCCCTCACCAACATGATCACTCCCCAGGCGCTGAGGACGATGCCGCAGGCGGCCAGCTTGGGCCCACAGCACAGAAGGGACGCCATGAAGAAGGGAGTCGGGGATCGCCTAGATGTGGGCCAGATAGGAAGGCGGTGAGAGGAAGCCCTGATGAGCGGGGTGGGGGGAAGAGAGCTGGACTTGGGGGCTCGCGGAGGACCGAGCGCAGGGAGAGCGACTGAGGGGGCGTGGCTTCCGGGCCCAACCATCGGGCTGGCGGGCGCCAGGCGGAGAACGCTGGCGCCTCCGGGTCCTCTCGGACTTCGGCGGGAAAGGGCGGTGTTTCTGAAATCGTAGCGGCCCCTCGGGAATCCCTTATTGACCCATATGTAGCTGGGATGCGAGTATTGCAGGAGCAAAGTTCTCCGGTTTCTTGGATTTCCCCCCTCTCCAGTTTGGAATGGGAGGAGCCAGTATATCATGTGACCAAGTCTGGCAAGTCACGTGACGAGGAAGAAATGGTAGCCCGGCCTCAGGAAAGCTTTTATCTCTGGCGGAGCTCCTGGTAACCTTGGCGATGCGCTCTCAGCAGCCGAGGATTGAAATTATGTCATTTTTCTCTCAGATACCTTAGTCTCGGGTGGTATCCTGTGATGGAGACGTGGTAAGTGAGACATAGAGATTTACACCGAGAGAGAACGCCTCTACCTCCTCTCTACTCATCCCTACCCTTTAAAATAGACACTCTGACACAGTAAAAGAAGACATAGAGCCCCTTCCCGAGCCCAAGCGTGCTGTTCTGGCTAGAACGCTTTAAAATTGCTGAGGGTTCTTGGCATTGGATATACTTAAGTAACGTTTTGTTACCAAACACGAAATACTGAAGAGTTGTGGTTGCCAAATCCAGGAAAAATATGGGCGTTAGGAAAAGTCCAAGGAAAGCAGATTCAATGAACAAGCTGTTAAGGTGAGTGGCCCTGCCAAATGTGCTGGAGAAAGGAATAAGTACACACGAATGTCAGTTTTCTTCCCTACCGTAAACCAAGGAAGCTGATCATAGGTCCTTTGAACAAGGTAGAGTACAAGATTTTAAAAATATGAATGGATCATACCCTCCAAAGAAAGAGTTTGTATACCTCACTGGTGAAAAACAGATTTGTAATAATTATTCAGGGAAATAGTGGTGTTTGAAGAACACAGTTTTGCACTGAGTATGTTGTACCCATTCTAGTGAGGACAGTGGTCATAGCGTAATTGAGAGGGGTCACTTTGATCCCAAGACCCCAGAACCAGACAAATACTGTCAGTGGTTAGCATAACTTTGTGGTATTTTTCCATTTATTTTGTGCAGATTGTTCTTAAAAGGGTCGTGAAAGAGAACTTGGAACCTGGGAAACACTTAGAGACCCCAGAGTACTGAAGAGCCTGGGATAGTGGCCTTGAGACATTATTTCGTGTCTTTTTTTTTTTTTTTTTTGCGGTACGCGGGCCTCTCACTGTTGCGGCCTCTCCCGTTGCGGAGCACAGGCTCCGGACGCGCAGGCTCAGCGGCCATGGCTCACGGGCCCAGCCGCTCCGCGGCATGTGGGATCTTCCCGGACCGGGGCACGAGCCCGCGTCCCCTGCATCGGCAGGCGGACTCTCAACCACTGCGCCACCAGGGAAGCCCTCGTGTCTCTTTTGTTTGAGACTGTTTGGAAGGAAGCCATTTGGGGGTGAAAGTTTTTATTTTGCCTTAGGGGCACCATTCTCATTCAGGGACTTTTGGGGTAGGTGTGTGAATAGGAGACACAGGGGTGGAGAGAAAGTTGCCAAAGAAGAGTCAGGAATTTTTAAGTTGGACAGGCATGAAGTCAAGCTCCTGGGAAAGGAGAATTAGTTGAGGTAGTCGATTTCTCCAAGAAATCTTCCTCACCCTCCCCACCCACCCCACCATTCTCTGGATGTTTTGCAAGTAAGGTCAGTGCCTCAGGCTACGGCAGGGTACCGTTGTGCAGGTACTGCCCCAAATCCAGGGCCAGATCCAGCCTGTAGCCTGTGCACATCCCTGTAGCGAAGCACAGGGTTTTGTTGTGTGTTTTTGCATTTTAAAATGGTTGACTAGACCGAAAGGAGGATGTTTTGTGACACAGGAAGTTCATATTTCACT